GTCTCTGTGTTCGGAACAAAGGAAGAAACACTTACGGAAACGTGGCGGCCGTGGCTAGTTTGCTGTAGACTGTGGTGCTGAGAAGTTCCTGGCTGATGCAGGAGAAGCAAAACGGGGGCGGCAAGCGATGTTTGTAGCAGAACTCGGCTGGGGAGGGGCCGTGCGGAGGGGACGTTTCCGGCAAGTCAGTTTTGGAGCCCACAAAGAGACAAGGAATCTGGCTGTCCATGTAGTGTTGCTGCAAAGGGCAAGGAATAACAGGGGTGTGTGTGTTATTTATGGCGTGGCCTATCAGACATGGGTTTGCAATATATAATTAACATTTCCCCTAGATTAAAAACAGAGAGAAAAAAATAATGTTAAGGAGATCTGTATTCAGATACTCATGCCTAGGCAAGCTAACCCTGGAAATGCAGCATCGTTTATGTGGGGAAAAAAAATCAGATACAGGACTGGCATAGGAGTCCTCGACTTACACGACCACAGTTGAGCCCAGAACAGATGTTGCTATGTGAGAAATTTGCTCAGTGAGTTTCTGCCCCAGTTTACCACTTTTCTTGCCACATGTGTTCAGTGAAATCACTGCCCTTGTTAAATTGGTCACCTGGTGGTGAACTCCCCATTGACTTTGCTTGCCCCAAGATCGCTAAAATGACCACAGGACCCCGGGAGGCTGTGACCGTCATACATGTGAACCGGTTGCCAAACATCTCAATGTAAATCACATAACCGTGGGGAGGGTGCAACAGTCGTAAGTGTGAAAAATGGTGCTAAGTCACTTTTTTTCAATGCCATTGTAACTTCGAACTGTCACTAAATGAATTTTTGTAAGTTGAGGACTTATCTGTATATGCCCTGAGTTTACAACTGGTTACGATGTGATCTACAGTTTGATGTGGGATCCCACAGTCCCACTGAGGGGAGGGTGCCAGCAGTGTGCTGCAGCTGCCAAAAAAGCCAACACAGTGCTGGGCTGCATTAACAGAGGGATAGAATCAAGATCACGTGAAGTATTAATACCACTTTACAAGGCCTTGGTAAGGCCACCCTTGGAATCCTGCATCCAGTTTTGGTCACCACGATGTAAAAAAGATGTTGAGACTCTAGAAAGAGTACAGAGAAGAGCAACAAAGATGATTAGGGGACTGGAGGCTAAAACATATAAGGAACGGTTGCTGGAATTGGGTATGTCTAGTTTAATGAAGAGAAGGACGAGGGGGGACATGATAGCAGTCTTCCAGTATCTCAGGGGCTGCCCCAAAGAAGAGGGAGTCAAGCTATTCCCCAAAGTGCCTGAAGGCAGGACAAGAAGCAACGGATGGAAACTAACCAAGGAGAGAAGCAACCTGGAGCTAAGGAGAAACTTCCTGACAGTGAGAACAATTAACCAGTGGAACAACCTGCCTCCAGAAGCGGTGAATGCTCCAACACTGGAGGATTTTAACAAGAAACTGGACAGCCATTTGTCCGAAATGGTATAGGGTTTCCTGCCTGAGCAGGGGTTGGACTAGATGACCTCCGATGTCACTTCCAACTTTATCATTATTATTATTATTTATACAGTTATTCAGGATTGTCCATTGTTAGTTGGGTTCGTTATAGGAGAGGGAGGCAAACTTTTCGCAAAGAGTTTTGAAGAACTTCTCCAGGAGGGGCTGCTGAAGTCAAACGGGGTTTCCATTTTTTCTGATGTTTATTTATTAAGCAATCTTTTAAATACCATCCTCCATCTTGATTAGGATCATCAATCAGCACAAAGCAAATCACAACACTGAGATTAACTAGAGATGGAGAGGCTAGACCGGGAGGATTAAAAGAAATTAAAGGGAGGCATCCAAGGAATGTTAACTAAAAAAAAGAGTAATAGGGCTAGAAATTGTTAAGACAAGGGAGTCAGGATCGTGTAAGAGTTGCTTTCAAAAGTCAAACTACAAAGTGCCACTAAACACAGCAGTGAAAACAGCCAAAGAGGATTCAAAGATTGTGGAATTCAATTAGGAACAAGCCTCAGACAATAACTAGCTTTCGTAAAACATTTCTCTTTGCTTTACAGTATCTTCTCTACATGGAAACTCTTGTTTAATATTTTCTTTTTCAAATTAAAGTTGCAGGTAGCAGTAAGAAAGCTCATGGATGGGTGGAGAGGAGAGGTGAGGAAAGAGAAAAGGGATGTACTTTCAAAGATCCATCCATCCATCCATCCATCCATCCATCCATCCATCCATCCATCCATCCATCCATCCTATCATATATCTATCATCTCTTTCCTTCTCTATCATCTATAATCCATCAGTACGCTGATGATACTCAGTTGTACATCTCCACCCCAGGTCACCCCAACGATGCCCTTGACGTGATGGCCCGTTGCCTGGAGGCCGTACGGGTCTGGATGGGGAGGAACAGACTCAGACTCAACCCTTCCAAGACCGAGTGGCTGTGGCTGCCGGCGCCTCGGCATAGTCAGCTGACTCCATCGCTGACTATAGGGGGCGAAATCTTGGCCCCCTCAGAGAGGGCCCGCAACTTGGGAGTCCTCCTGGATCCACGGCTGACACTGGAAGACCATTTGCCGGCCGTGACCAGGGGGGCGTTTTATCAGGTTCGCCTGATTTACCAGTTGCGTCCTTTTTTGGACCGGGACGCTCTGCGCAGTCACTCATGCTCTCGTCACCTCCCGCCTGGACTACTGTAATGCTCTATACATGGGGCTCCCTGTGAGGAACATCCGGAGGCTTCAACTGGTCCAGAATGCGGCCACGCGGGCGGTGTTGGGAGGGACTCGTCGCTCCCACGTAACACCGCTGCTGCGCGAGCTGCACTGGTTACCAGTGGCCTTCCGGGTGCGCTTTAAGGTGTTAGTTACCACCTTTAAAGCGCTCCATGGCATCGGACCTGGATATCTCCGAGACCGCCTTCTGCCACAGATTCTCTCTCACAGACCAGTACGCTCCCACAGAGCGGGCCTCCTCAGGGTGCTGTCGGCCAAGCAGTGTCGGCTGGCGACCCCCAGGGGGAGGGCCTTCTCTGTGGGTGCCCCCACCCTCTGGAACGAACTACCCCCCGAGATCCGGACGATTCCGGATCTCCTATCTTTTCGCCACGCCCTCAAGACATGGCTTTTTCAACAAGCGGGTCTGGCCTAGGGAGAATTTTAAATAGGGACAATTTTAATTAGAATTTTAATGGTAACACAGCGGTAAATATTTGTTTTTAAATTGGTTTTTATTGGGGATAGTGTTTGTATCGTTTTAATATGCTGTAAGCCGCCCTGAGTCCTGTTGGGAGAAGGGCGGCATATAAGTTCAATAAATAAATAAATAAATAAATAAATAAATAAATAATCTCTCTCTCTCTCTCTCTCAAATCTATATCTGTCTGTCTGTCTGACTTTCCTTTTCTTTCTCTATTTTATATCTGTCTGTCCGTCCATCCATCCTATCATATATCTATCATCTTTCCTTCCTTCCTTCCTTCCTTCCTTCCTTCCTTCCTTCCTTCCTTCCTTCCTTCCTTCCTTCCTTCCTTCCTTCCTTCCTTCCTCCCCCCCGCCAGCCTAGGTTCGAATCTCAGAAGGGTATATCTGGCTGATGAGAGCTAATTAATTCGAAATAGCTATGCCAGTCGAAATAGCTATTCCATTATATATATAATGTCTGTCTGTCTGTCATCTAAATCTATCATATTTAAGAACCCCAATCATCTTCAGAGAAGGACTGAGTGGTGTATAATAAAAAAACCCTAGAAGCATAAAAACAATACAGGTAGTCCTCAACATACGATCACAACTGAGCAAGCCCAAAATTTATGTTGCTCAGCGAGAAATTTGTTAAGTGAGTCTTGCCCCATTTTACGACCTTTCTTGCCACCCTTGTTAAGTGAATCACTGCAGTTCTTAAATTAGCAACCCGGCTGTTAAATGAATCTGGCTTCCTCCACTGACTTTGCTTGTCAGGAGGTCGCAAAAGGGGAACGACGTGATGTCAGGACGCTGCAACCGCCATAAATACGAGTTAGTTGCCCAGCGGCCGAATGTTGATCACATGACCGTGGGGATGCTGCAACGGTCGTAAGTGTGAGAAATGGTCATGAGCCACTTTCTTCAGTGCCATTGTAACTTTGAATGGTCACTAAACAAACTGTTGTAAGTCGAGAACTACCTGTATAGAAAATTTAAAAGGGGCAAGAAAACTTAAAATGAATTAAATTTCAGCCATCGGGCTTTGGAGACCTACTGCTTCTGAAACCAGGCAGAAAAACTTACCTTATAAATATTAGCACAGTAATTAAAAGACTTGTGGTCTGCCACGTCGTACAAGAAGCAGGCAACATCACAAGCTGTGTCAGAGGTCTTCGCAAATTCTGCGTCCGCCTCAATCTCCTGTAGCTGCAGAGATAACACAGAGGAGATTCATATCTTTTCTAAAAACCATCCGTATACTTTCTGACTAAACAACGGTTCACTCATTGTATGCATCGGGGATTTTTTTTTTAAATGAATTAATAGATTGCACTTACAATTAAATGCTTTTCCTGTCCATTGACCAGCACCGTATTAATTGAATAGGGCGATCTGTTTTCCTCGGATTCGCTCTGGATCTGAAACAGGGAGGAAGGATGGTTTTGATGAGGAAGGAAGAAAGATTGATTTTGATGTAAAAGAAAGAAGGAAGATTAATTTTGATGTGGAGGGAGGGACGGAGGGAGGAAGAGAAGGAAGGAAGGAAGGAGGGAGGGAAGGAAGGAAGGAGGGAAAGAGGGAAGGAAAAGAAAGGAAGGAAGGTGGGGAGGGAGTGAAGGAAGGAAGGAAGGAAGGAACGAAAGAGGGAGGGAGGGAAGAGAGAAAGAAAGAAAGAAAGAAAGAAAGAAAAAAAGAAAGAAAGAAAGAAAGAAAGAAAGAAAGAAAGAAAGAAAGAAAGAAAGAAAGAAAGAGGGAAAGGAAGGATATTGATGATTGTGTATCTCTTCCAACCTGATACGGTCTAGATACTTGGGCATGCCATTTCAACAATCCTGAAAACCGAGAATTCTTGGGCTTTTAGTTTTAGTAGTCCAGACCCCCCCCCCCAAAAAAAACACAATTAAAAGAGGGAATAAGCTGCATTCTGGAAGCCTAGAATGATTTGGGCCTTGAAAACAAAGTGGGCCTCAATTAAGACATCGTAAGAAATCACTGCCCCTCAAATTTCAAGGATTGGCATGTGGAAAAAGCCAGCATGGGGACATGGCAATGGGCTAGGACTGGGATGAACCAAGTTCAGGTCCACCTGCCATCTGACGAGCAGGGGGCAGGAATGTGGTATATCACCCACCTGAAATAGCTTGCTGGGAGTCTAGGGCGGGGGTCTTCAAACTTGGCCCTTTTATGACTTGTGGACTTCAACTCCCAGAATTCCTCAGCCAGTCCCAATTCTGGGAGTTGAAGTCCACAAGTCATAAAAGGGCCAAGTTTGAAGACCCCCGGTCTAGGGCAATGTTTCTCAACCTCGGCAACATTTAAGAGATGTGGACTTCAACTCCCAGAGTTCCTCAGCCACCATTACTGGCTGGGGAATTCTGGGAGTTGGAGCTCCACACATCTTAAAAATCGCCGAGGTTGAGAAACACTGACGTAGAAGGCCTCTTGGAATCAACCGTCAAAGCTCACCCTGATTCTATACTGGTCCGAACTGAGAGGTGTAATTTGTTTTGATCTGAATGGAAGACTTAAATAGCGGGCACTGTTCTCCGCCAGGACTTACCCCCACATCCTTGCCTAGAAAGGCTTGCAGGAAAGCCGACTTGCCGGCCCCTCGGGACCCGATCACTTTGCAGAGGAAGACATTCCGGTGGGTCTGGCCTTTCTCCAAGTCCACCTTTTTTTCCCGGGTGACTAGAACAAAATGGAGAGGTGGATGAGAAAGGATAATGAAGGGAGAAGCCTTTCCTTCTTGCCTCCCCAATTTCCTGCCTTTGAAGTGAGTTGAATTCCAGGCAGCGGATTCATTCTGTAGGCTTTGGACAGGTCTGGCGGTAGCCGAGTCTCTAGTTCCCATGCTATAGAGATAGTCGTTGTGTCAGAGCATGCACAGTTTTATTGCGCTGAGGTAACCCAGGAGTAAATACAGTAAACAATAGTCTGTATTAAATGGTGGTTTATATTACACTGTATCTACAAATATACCCTAAAAACAAGATACATACACGTGGTGAAACAGCAAACTCCAATACACAGCAATTACAGCAGTCAAATGGAGAGAGAAAGACTCCAGCAAAAAACTTCCCTTTTATACTCAAGACTCTTAAAGGCACAGACACAGATCCCGCTGAGTCATCCCTATTCGTGCATCATCCACCTTACATTACATAAGCTGTTTAGCTGTTAAATCATTATCCTGACACCTTGACTTACTGGGTCAAGAATTTCTTACTGCTAAGCTAGGTGGTGAAGTGAGTCGCGCCTGCCTTGATGACCATTTTTGCCGTCTGGGTTGTTAAGCGAAATCACTGCAGTTGTTAGGTGAACCACATGGTTGTTAAACAAATCCGGCTCCCCCCCCCTTGACTCTGCCTGTTGGAAGCCGGCTGGGGAAGTTGCAAACGGGGATCGTGTGACCCTGGGACGCTGCAACCGTCATAAATAATGTGAGTTGCCAAGTGTCCCAATTTTGGTCATGTGATTGTGGGGACGCTGCGACGGTTGCTAAATGCAAGGACCGGTTGTTAAGTCACCTTTTTCAGTGCAGTTAACTCCGAGCGGTCACTAAACAAATGGTTGTACACGTAGTACCTGACTTATGATCGCAACCGAACGCAACATTTCTGTCGCTAAGTGAGACAATTAAGTGAATTTTGCCCCATTTTAAGCTAGTAAAATGGTTGCTAAATGAACTTGGCTTCCCCACTGATTTCGCTTCTCAGAAGGTTGCAAAACGGGAATCACAGGACGCTGCAATTGTCATAAATGTGAGCCGGTGGCTAAGCATCTGAATTTCGATCTCGTGACCAGGGAGAGGCTGCAACGGTCGTAAGTGTGAAAAAAACAAACATAAATTGTAACTTTGAATGGTCACGTAATGAATGGTGGTAAGCCGAGGACGACCTCTACGTTGAGGACTAGCTGCAGAGTACTTGAACTTAGAAATCAGCTCAGCAGCCCATTTACCTGTGATGGCGTAAATCTGGGAGTCCTGCTGAGAGAAGATGGGGTACCCCAGGTAGCCCAAGTGTTCTAAGCAGCGATGGACGTCCAGGTAGGCAACCAGCCTGGGGGGAAATCCAAGCACAGAGAGAGAGAGAGAGAGAAGCGCACCTGTTACAGGCCACCCGTGGAGGGGAGGACAAGTGGTCTGACAGGGGGGCAGAGAGAGGCTGCGCTTACGTCCACTGGCAGAGGAATCCATGCAGGGAAAGCAGGCCTTTATCTGTGGTGCATACCGTGTGGTAGAGCTCAGATCCCCAGGGGATATAGGGGAACACACCAAAGAAGTTCTGCAGCTCGCCGGGCGAGAGGGCGCCATCACGGTCCTACAGGCCAGAGGAAAGAAAACAGCCCCTGAGCGGCAGCTCTCCCTTGCTACAGGCCGGCAAGCCCACCATGCCTACAGCATCCCGAAAAGCCCTCTGCTCCTTCGACAAGTTCAGCTGCAAAGTGATCAGGGTGCGGTGCCCTTGCCCTTAGCATCTTGGCATGTTTTGGGCAGAGTAGCCTGATCCAAAGCTGCGTGAAGGCTTTTTCTGCCTTTAGTCAAATGCTGGAGAAGGGCTGGAGATAGAAATGGCCACAAATGGGCCTTCTTCTCCTGCCAATTGTCCTATGAATCAGTGCTGCTTGCCATCACCAACAGAGAAGTAAAGAGTTATCCACCATGGAGACACTCTGTTTTGGCGTCTCCACCACTTACCTTGTCATGTTTCTCAAACATCCGTTGCAGGAACTGGTAACCAAAGTGGTTGAGCTCTGTGGAACAGTCCTGGGGTACCCGGATCCTGAACGAAACAAGAGCAGAATTTGAAGCAGATCCTGCAGTCCCGACAATTTTTCCAACTACTACAAACCACCTGAGATGCTGCAAACTGGGCGCAATGCAATGCCCAGGTAATCCTTGACTTACAACAATTCATTTAGTGACTGTTCAAAGTTACAACGGCACTGAAAAAGTGACTTGTGACAGACTGTTTCTCATACTTATGGCTGTTGCAGCATCCCCATCCCCCCCCCCCCCGGTCACGTCATCAAAATTCAGATGCTTTGCAACCGACTCGTGTTTATGACGGTTACAGCACCCTGGGGTCCCATCTGTGGTGAGCCTTCCTTACAAGCAAAGTCAGCGGGGAAGTCAGATTCACTTAACAACCGCATTGTCAACTTTTCAACAGCAGTGATTCATTTAGCAACTGAAGCAGGAAAGGTCGTAAAATGGGGCAAACATCACTGAACAACTGCCTTTTTTTAGACCCAGAAATCTGGAGCTCAGTTGTGGTCGTAAGTTGAGGATTACCTATCCTGGAATCAGTGCTCAAGGAGAGAAAACACAGAGGGCATACAGGTAGTCCTTGACTTACTGTTTCCCCGACAATAAGACCGGTCTTTTTTTTTTTTTGCCTCCAAAAGAGGCACCAGGTTTTATTTTCAGGATAGGCCTTACCTCATCTCTGGCACCAACAGCCCCATCCAACTGGTCCACTTTTTCTGGGACCGAAGTTCTGCAGCTGCATTCGGGCCTGCATTTTGCAGTCAGGCCTTTCCAGAAGGCCTAAGTCTAAGCAGCTGAGCCCATGTAGTCCATGTAGTCTCATGATTCAATCCATAGCTTGGTGCTCATCTGTTGCGGCCTTGCAGGACCAAGGTACCGATTGAATCCATAGCTCGGTTCTTGGGTGCAGAGGCCTTCCGGAAAGCCATGACTGAGAAATGCAGGCCTGGCTGCAGAAGAGGCGTCAGAAGGAGGAGTGGGCCGGCAAGGAGATGCCTGGCTGCCAGGTAAGTGGGTGCGGGGCAGGTGGGGCAGCTCCACACCCCCACCCTAGCTTGATTTTTAGACATGCGCCTCGTCCCAAAACTAGGACTTATTTTTGGGGTAGGGCTTATATTAAGCCCACCCCCAAAAATCAAGCTAGGGCTTATTGTTGGTGTAGACCGGGGTAGGGAACCTTGGCTCTTTTATGACTCGTGGAGCCATGGCTGGCTCAGGAATTCTGGGAGTTGAAGTCCACGAGTCATAAAAGAGCCAAGGTTGCCTACCCCTGGTGTAAGCCTTACTCTCGGAGAAACACGGTATGACTATAACTGGGACCAGAATTTCCACTGCCAGTTGTTAAGGGAGCCATGCCTGATTTTAGGACATTCTTTTTTTTTTGCCACAGACATTAAGTTTCTTAAGTTGTAAGTCGAGGATTCAAGCTGACTCACACTGGGCAGAGATAGTCATCAGTCAGCTCCAGGGCATCGTCATAGCCAAAGCGGCGGAGGATGGTCCATGTAGTCTCGTGACGCCCTCTCTGGATGAAGAGGGTGTTGAGGAAAAGGAAGCCTGGGGAGAGACAAGGGTATTGTTCAGAACAGGCAGCTACAACAAAGATACCCCATAGGTCAGGGGTAGGCAACCTGGGCTCTTTTATGACTCGTGGACTTCAACTCCCAGAATTCCTGAGCCAGCCATGCTGAAGGGAAAGGGAGAGGTTTCCAAGCTGAGCCATGTTGGCTCAGGAATTCTGGGAGTTGAAGTCCACGAGTCATAAAAGAGCCAAGGTTGCCTACCCCTGCCATAGGGGATAGATTTGAGTCTTCTCAACCTCTGAGGAGGAACAGAGCAGAACACAACAGAATAACAGAGTTGGAAGGGACTTTGGAGGTCTTCTAGTCCAACCCCCTGCTCAAGCAGGAGACCCTATACCCTTCCAGACAATTGTCTGAACAATACCATTGGGCAATCTCTTCTTAAAATCCTCCAGGGTTGGAGCACCCACAACATCTGGAGGCAAGCTGTTCCACTGATTAATTTTAACTGCCAGGAATTTTCTAGGTTGCTTCTCTCCTTGATTAGTTTCCATCCGTCGCTTCTTGTCCTGCCTTCAGGCGCTTTGGAGAATAGCTTGACTCTCTCTTCTTTGGGGCAGCCCCTCAAATATTGGAAGACTGCTATCATGTCATCCCTAATCTTTCTTTTCATTCAACGAGACATATCCAATTCCTGCAACCGTTCCTCATATGTTTTAGCCTCCGGGCCCCTAAACATCTTTGTTGCTCTTCTCCGTGCTCTTTCTAGAGTCTCAGCATCTTTTTTTCTATCCTTTCCCGGGCCAGCTACTTAAAAGAGTGGACTGCTGTATTTACCATTGAGTGTAAGGCCATTGTCCTGGACACCATCTGTTGTGTTCTTCCACACCACCATTTTTACATCTTCCAGAGCCTGAGGAGCCAACGGGTTTCCAAAGCAGGACTTCTACTTCCCCCCCAAAAAACAAGGAGGTCAGTCACAAAAAGGGACAGGTCTATGCATAAAAGAACAAATAGAAGCATCATATAGACCAGGGGTAGTCAACCTTGGCTCTTTTATGACTCGTGGACTTCAACTCCCAGAATTCCTGAGCCAGCCACGCTGAGGGGAGAGGGAGAGGTTTCCAAGCTGAGCCATGCTGGCTCAGGAATTCTGGGAGTTGAAGTCCACGGGTCATAAAAGAGCCAAGGTTGCCTACCCCTGAAATTATAGACTCAGAGAGAAGATACAGTAGTGGCCAAAATTGTGGAAAGCTTTTGGGAAAAATGTACTTTTGAGGTTGGATGGCTAACAACACCACTTTTTTTTGGAGTAGTACCATAAAATTATATATCAATGGAAAGATAATTTAATCGAGAATGTAATGCAATGTAGTTTGTTCAATTATCTGTACTGTATTCTACGAAAGATTATAGCCAAATGACCAGAAAAAGGAAGCACAACTTGCTTAGGTTGATATCAGGTAGCTTTCCTTCATCTGATTGTAGCCAATGAGCATGAGTGTTTAGAGAGCCAATTAATTGGGTGTCATCTTGTTTTGGCAATGAGCCAATCAGATCACAGTAGGATTCAGTTATTAGTGTCCTGTATTAAAGCTGAGAGGAGGACATTTGTCAGTGTGTCATGTGATTGATATCAAGTTGGTTGGGGTTTTTTTTGTGTTCTTTCATTTAGTGAGCTTGTAAAATGTCATAAAATTAAAGCCATGGTGCAAAGAGTTGACTGGTTGCCCAGAAAGCGATGTAAAATAGTATTATTAAGTGAACAAGGCTACAGTTATAAAGAAATTAGAAGAAAAATGGGTGGAAACTTAACCAAAGGTGGCATTTCTACTGAACACTTTTCCCAAAAAGTTTCCACAATTTTGGCCACTACTGTAACAGCTCAGCTGCTGCTGGAAAGTTGAGATGTTCCATATTCAGCTTGGATATATTCCAAATTCTCTCAAAGTCAACGACTGAGGAATCAAAGAGATGTCTGGAAATTGCTTTCAGATCTGAAATACAAGTAGTCCTCAATTTACAACAGGCCATTTACTGATCGTTCAAAGTTACAACGGATGACCGTTGTTCACACTTGTGGCCATTGCAGCATTCCCCAAGATCATGTGATCAAAATTTGGATGATTGGCAACTGGCATGTACTTATGACGGTTGCATAGTGTCCCGGGGTCCTGTGATCCGCTTTTGCGACGTTCTGACAAGCAAAAAATCAACGGGAAGCCAGATTCACTTAACAAATTGTGTTACTAACTTAACAACTGCAGTTAATCCACATGGCAAGAAATCTCGTAAAATGGGGCTAAACTCATGTAACAAATGTTTTGCTTAGCCGCAAGAAATTTGGGGTTCAATTGTGGTCGTAGGTTGAGGACTATCTGTACTGCTGTTAAAGGACAATGCCTATTGAAAGCAAAAAGGACTGAAGCTCCCCCATTAGGTTACAAATCTCAACATATCCAGTCAGGGCATCAGATTTGGTACTGAGGTAGATGAGAAAGGTCATAAGAAAATGCTTTAAGATGTTTTGTTATATCAATAAGGGGAATATTGTATTGTGCTTGATTGAGCTTAATTATGTTTAAAATCCATTTAACCTGTGTGCCAATTCTATAGAAACAACCTTTTACAAGAAGTGCCAACTGAAAGTCACAGATGGTGTAAGATATTACCCGCCAGGGCGGTGAGGCAAGATAAGCCTTCTGTATGAACTTCTTCTTTTCTTCTGTNCATGCTGGCCTTAACTGAACGAACAGAGAGGTGAAAAAAAGAGAAGGAATTTTAAAGAGAGGGAATACGAAATAGCTGCTGATACCTTGCATTTCCCACAATGCTATCATCACAGGCACAGAGAGATGGAGAACATGATGCACAGATGCTGTTTTGCCTAAGAGTCTGGAATAGTCTTCTCCAAACTGGTGCTTCTCCAAGGGCACCAAACGTCTGGAAGGTCAACTTGGTTGGGAAACTTAGATGAAATCCACTAGATCTGGAAACCATCGAGTTGAAGGCTATCTTTCCCCATCGTAGGTTTTCTCCAATGCCAGAATTTCCTATCAGGTCCACAGTTCTGGTCAGCAACCAGGTTAAGGAAGGCTGGTTTAGTACCACAGAGTAACAAAATTGTATATAGCAACAGCACTTGGACTTATATACTGCTCCGTAGGGCTTTGCAGCACTCTCTGAGCAGTTTAGAGCAGGGGTCCCCAACCCCAGGTCCGTGGACCGGTACCGGGCTGCTGCATGCCAGCAACCGGGCCGCACAAACAAGCAAAGCCCCATCTGTGGGATGCAGGCAGCACACAAAACCATGCACTCTCCGGTCCGTGGAAAAACCTGTCTCCACTTAACTGGTCCCTGGTGCTCAAAAGGTTGGGGACCTCTGGTTTAGAGTCAACACCTCGCCCCTAACAATCTGGGTCTTCACTTTACCGACCTTGGAAGGACTGAAGGCTGAGTCAGCCTTGAGCCGGTCAGGATCGAACTCCTGGCAGTAGGCAGATTTTTGCCTGCAATACCGCATTCTAACCACTGCGCCACCACGCCTCGTGTAGAGTCACACAAAGCCAAGATTTAATCATACATTTACTGGCTCTGCAAATGGCGTTGCAGCTAGCCCTCCATACCACCTAAAACCAGCCACTGAGATTTACAAAAGACAAAGGTAGTCCTCGACTTACGTCCACAACTGAACCCATTTTTGTTGCTAAGCAAGACATTTGTTGTGAATTTTGCTCCATTTTTTACAACTTTTCTTGCCACAGTTGTTAAGTGAATCGCTACAGTTGTTAAATTAGTCACACGGTCGTTAAGTGAATCTGGCTTCCCCCCGTTGACTTTGCGTGTCAGAAGGTCGCAAAAGAAGATCACGTGACTCCGGGACTCTACAACGGTCATAAACGTGAGTCAGCTGCCAAGCGGTCTGAATTTTGATCACGTGACCATGGGGATGCTGCAACGGTCATAAGTGTGAGAAAAGGTCATAAGCCACTTTTTTTTCAGCGCTGTTGTAACTTTGGTCACTAAATGAACTGTTGTAAGTCAAAGATTACCTGTAGTCATTAGAATTCTTTCGCCACGGCATTCTAGTTTTTCTTTAATGAAATTTACTTATCAGAAGTTCTCGTAAGCTTGTCTAACTCATTCCAGTCCTGCCTGCTACACTAATAGCAACGTTATTATGCAGATGTTTACCTGCTTCTCCTCTGGATCATAGAGAGGGGCAGTTGGATGAAGAACAGCTTTCTGGGCATAGTAGAAAAGCTCAGAAATGTTTTTCAGATTCTTCGCTGAACACTGGCGTACAAAGAGGGAGAGAGAAGCTGATTCAGAGACCAGGAAGTGCTCATCAATAAATAAAACTGACGTATTGAAATGACATTCAAAGTTCTCAATCTGAGGACCACCATGAAAGCAGGCACAAAGGAAAGACTAAAAGTGAAGCAGCCTCTTTTCTTCCAATTCTCCCTGAAAGAACAATTTTGATGTGGCGTCGTAGCATATCAGAAGAGAAAAAAATAGAGAGGCTGGTGGCCTAAATTTGGGGTCTTCTGGATGCAAAATATGTGCTGGCACTAAATCAGTGGAGGAGTTTCTAGTGCCGTGGTGGCGAACCTATGGCATGCGTGCCACAGGTAGCACACAGAGCCCACTCTGTGGGCACGCGCGCCGTCGCCCCAGTCCTAGGCCTTCAGTTGGGTTTTATAAAATCTTTTTGCTTTAGGCTCCGCTGCCATGTCAAAAAAAAAAAGGTTCAATCAATCAATCAATTTCAACTTCTTGCGGGGGAAAAAAAAGATCTCGCAAAGTTTGAATTGATTCAACTTTTTAGTCCCACCCAGTCTGCCGCTACCACTGCAGCCATGCCCACCCAATGGGCCACACCCAGCCAATGGGCCACACCCACCCGGCACCCGACGATACATAAGTGGGTTTTGGGTTGCAGTTTGGGCACTCGGTCTCTAAAAGGTTCACCATCACTGTTCTAGTTCAACTCCCGTAAAGCAGAGATCCTCAACCTTTCCGGCTTTGTGGCCCGGTGTGTGTGTGTGTGGGAGGGGGAGAGGGATGGCTCCACGTAAGTGGTGGGCAAGCGGGTGTGCGTGTGCAGCTCCAATTGCGCAGTGGGCACGTGCACCTGCCTGCCACTCACGCAAATGGAGCATGCGGTGCGCACGCTCGCCCGCCCCTTCCACGGCCCGGTTCCGAATGGCTCAAGGCCCGGTAGTGGGCTGTGGGTTGGGGACCCCTGTCCTAAAGGACTTTCCCTTCACCCCAGAATCAAAGGTCTGTACTATGTCCCTGCCAACGTTCACACAATTCCTCACCTCCACACAGGTCTCGATCTCGGAGAACTGGTTCATAATGGGCAGGATGGTTTCCATGGAGCTTCCGGTGTGCAGGTCAGACTTGTTTCCCACGAGGATGATGGGGATCCTTGAAAAGAACAAAACATTTTGGAGAGACCCATTTAGGATCAGAGATAGGCTGTGCTTCAAAGAAGCAGAAAAGGGGTGAGGTGGAGAGGAGGAATATATATATATATTTAAAGCACATGGCAAGGAGATCTACAATGCCTTTTACCACACAGTACAGGCAGTCTTTGACTTACAACAGTTCGTTTAGCGACCGCTCAAAGTGACAGCGGCACTGAAAAAGGTGACTTAGGACCTTTTTTTCAAACCGATGACCGTTGCCGCATCCCCACGCTCACGTGATCAACATTTGCAGGCTTGGCAACTGGTTCACATTTATGACGGTCGCAGTGTCCCGGGTTCACGCGATCCCCCTTTTGCGACCTTCTGACAAGCAGTCAATGGGGGGAGGGGAGCCAGATCCATTTAACAACCCTGTGACTAACTTTAACAACTGCAGCGATTCCCTTAATGGCGGTGGCGAGAAAGGTCGTAAAACGGAGCAAAATTCACTTTAATGACTGCCTCGCTTAGCAATGGAAATTTGGGGCTCCACTGCGGTCGTGCGTCAAGGGCTACTTGTAGTTCTGGCAAGCTAAGATTGCTAGTTTATCTTGTTCAGGCAGGCGTGCTATCCATGGTACACCACAAGGGGGAGAACTAGCTTTCCACCAATTGGCTAGCAGCGTTTGGGGTGCTGGGTCATCCAGGCTTTCTTCCACCAACCTCGCCTCGCATCCAGACAGATTTGGCGCCAGCTCCACACGGAACGCTGCTAGCTTTTCCCAGAAGGGTGGTACCTATTTATCTACTTGTAGTTTTACATGCTTTTGAACTGCTAGCTGAGCAGGAGCTAGGGCACTGATGGCAAACCTTTTAGAGACCGAGTGCCCCAAAACCGGTCCTGCCCCAGATCTGCCCCATGCCTGCCTGCAGGGCCACCCACCGCATCCACGGCCCGCTGCAGATCACCCAGGCAGCCCAGCAGCGCCATGGCAGCCATGTCTTTCCCCCGTGCCCTGCAGCATCAACTGCGCGCGACGGGGCACAAGGGCGGAGTCTTGTCCCCGCTGCCCGGTTGCCATGTCCTTGGCTGTGCTGCTCCGCGCGGGCCATACTCGGGGGCGACTCTCCTCCGGGGGGCCTGCTAGTGAGGAGGGGGCCGTGGGGGGGGGCGGGGCTGGGGCGACAGCACGCGTGCCCACAGAGAGGGCTCTGAGTGCCACGACTGAGCTAGGGCAAACGACAGGAGCTCACTCCACCACGTGGTGCCATGGGCTCGAACTGCAGGAGCACTGACCGTCTCCGGCCGACAGATCCAGCGTCTTTAAGCCACTGTGCCACTACGCCACCCCCCAAAAGAGATTTATTAACAGACCTATGAGAACCAAAGCAGCACAACCCACCCTGTAAGACATTAGATACCTGGCACATCGCTCAATGCCACCGTTCACCATTGGAATCCATTTTGTCCGAATCTGGGGGGGGAAAAGGAAGGGAAAAGCAAGTGGGAGGGAGAATCTCCATGCCCCGATTTTTTAAGAAATAAGCCCTTGAGAAGACACCCAGGTCCAACCATGACATCAAGACTTTTTCCCCCAGCTCCAGTCGAAATCAACACCCATCCAAGGCAGCAGAGGCCCTTCCAAGAAACATTGTGAGATACAGCACTCATGAACATTCATGGGTCCTTGCGTAGGAAAGTCAAAGCAGGGAGAAGCAGTACAATTGTGGACTTGGGGATGGGCACCTCAGAGGCCCCTGGTGTTACCTTGTCAATGGTGGCCTCCTCTGTGACGTCATAGACCATGCAGATCACGTTTGCCTGCAATGGAAAAAAGTGGGACAGAGTTCTAACAAACACGCAGAACTCTCTAGCGCAGGGGTAGGCAACCTGGGCTCTTTGATGACTCGTGGACTTCAACTCCCAGAATTCCTGGGCCAGCCATGCTGAGGGGAAAGGGAGAGGTTTCCAAGCTGAGCCATGCTGGCTGAGGAATTCTGGGAGTTGAAGTCCACAAGTCATAAAAGAGTCAAGGTTGCCTAGCCCTGACCTAGATGATAGATAGATAGATAGATAGATAGATAGATAGATAGATAGATAGATAGATAGACAGACAGACAGACAGACAGACAGACAGACAGACAGACAATAGATACACCTAGACCAGGGGTAGGCAACCTTGGCTCTTTGATGACTCGTGGACTTCAACTCCCAGAATTCCTGAGCCAGCCATGCTGAGAGGAAAGGGAGAGGTTTCCAAGCTGAGCCATGCTGGCTCAGGAATTCTGGGAGTTGAAGTCCACGAGTCATAAAAGAGCCAAGGTTGCCTACTCCTGCTCTAGCCCAAAGCTCTTCTCCAGATTATTTTTGGTGCAGAGAACTTGCCTCCTCAATGCTGGGTTTAGCACCCTCAACATGAGCCAACTATGGTTTGATGGACTGCTATAGTCAGTTGGCACAATAATGCCTTCCATTTATGAATACCAGCATGGCAGAGAGATACTTCTGCTGAAGGTAGAAAGAAATATGCAGAAATATGCAGGAACTGTTACCCAGATAGAGGGTCATTTTCAAAATCCAGAGCTATGCGAGAATGCTTGGAAGAGGCTCCAAGCAGTTCCCTTCCTGATTCACTGGAAGGTTAGAAGGAAGAGCAGGCACAGAACAACCCAACTTGCAAGATCCTGTTTACTGTCGCCAATCTCAATAAAAGTAGTTTTAGCCTTCCCGTAGAGTTGAATTCTTGGTCTGGCCCATCTAGTGGGGTTAAAACTGAGATCTTACTCTCCAGTATCCTGCTTCTCAGAATAACAGAGTTGGAAGGGACCTTGGAGATCTCCCAGTCCAACCCCTCCACACAAGCAGGAGACCCTGCACCCTTTCAGAAAACTGGCTGTCCAGTCTCTTCTTAAAAGCCTCCAGGGTTGGAGCACCTACAACTTCTGAAGGCAAGGCGTTCCACTGGTTGATTGTTCTCACCGTCAGGAAGTTTCTCCTTAGTTCTCGGTTGGTTCTCTCCTTGATTGGTTTCCATCCGTTGCTTCTTGTCCTGCCTTTGTAAAATAAGATTTGAGTCCCTCTTCTTTCTTTTTCTCCATAGGCAGGTAGCTACGTCCATCTTTGGAACTGCTGAATGTTCCTTGGGCTTTATGACCACATCGCTTGGGGCTTCCCAGGGCAACACAGCTGTCTATCTATGGTAGCCCTGTTGAAGCTAAGCGATCCGTGCTCTCTGCAAGGAAGTAGGAACTTCTGCTCCTGCTCCTGCTCCTCCTCTGAGTCTTCTCCTGCCTGGTTCTCACTTAAGCTGGTAGGTTCAATTCTCACAGTGCTGCTACTGACAAGCATCCATGAAGCAAAGATCAAACGGATCAAATTACTTTCCACCAGGCTTTGGGTGGGATTTGGGAAGAGTTTTGGGGTCCAGGTTCAGGGAGGCAAAGAGAGGAAGGGGGAGGGGAGCTGCTCCAGGCCCGCCCCACCCCTCCAGACCTTAGGATTACCTTGGCAATCTCTTCTTGCAGCTCTTCTTCCGTCTGTTCGGCTTCTGAAAGGAGACACAAAAGGGGCATGAGTTGGCCCTGCCATCTTTCGCCCACGTGCAAAGTGAGAAGCATCCTATCCACCACAGATAGGAGGTTAAGGCAACCTGTGGGGCCAGGTTGGCCCTATCCATTGCTCCGAGAAGGAAGGAGCTCTTGCTGGATGCTCACTTTCAGGAATGGTACGGTAGAGAGCCAGTTTGGTCTAGTGCTTAAGCATCAGGTTAGAAAGCAGGAGACTGTGAGTTCTAGTCCCTCTTTAGGCATGAAAGCCGGCTGGATGACTTTAGGTCAATCACCAGGAGACCGTGAGTTCTAGTCCCTCTTTAGGCATGAAAGCTAGCTGGATGATTTTAAGTCAATCACCAGGAGACTGTGAGTTCTAGTCCCACCTTAGGCATGAAAGCTGGCTGGATGATTTTAGGTAATCACCAGGAGACCGTGAGTTCTAGTCCCTCTTTAGGCATGAAAGCCAGCTGGATGATTTTAGGTCAAACACCAGGAGACTGTGAGTTCTAGTCCCTCTTTAGGCATGAAAGCTGGCTGGATGACTTTAGGTCAATCACCAGGAGACCGTGAGTTCTAGTCCCGCCTTAGGCATGAAAGCCGGCTGGATGACTTTAGGTCAATCACCAGGAGATTGTGAGTTCTAGTCCCTCTTTAGGTATGAAAGCCGGCTGGATGACTTTAGGTCAATCACCAGGAGACTGTGAGTTCTAGTCCCTCTTTAGGTATGAAAGCCAGCTGGATGACTTTAGGCCAATCACCAGGAGACCCTGAGTTCTAGTCCCACCTTAGGCATGAAAGCTGGCTGGATGACTTTAAGTCAATCACCAGGAGACTGTGAGTTCTAGTCCCTCTTTAGGCATGAAAGCCAGCTGGATGACTTTAGGCCAATCACCAGGAGACCGTGAGTTCTAGTCCTGCCTTAGCTATGAAAGGCAGCGGGGTGACTTTGGGCCCATCCCTCTTTCTCAGCTCAACCCACCTTTCAAAGTTGTTGTTGTTGTGGGGAAAATACGAGGAGGAAAGTGTGTTGGATATGTTCACCGCCTTGAGGTATTTGTAAAAGTGATAAAGGCAGGATACAAATAAACAGAAATAAAATTGTGCGAATACAGAGGGGAAGGGAAAAAAAAAACCTTCCAGCCTGAATCCCAACCTTTCAACTCACAGGCGTCACGGTAAACCGTGACGTTGTCTCCTTCCATGTGGCACTGCTTGGGGCATATTCCTGGCTTCTTATCCACCAATCCACCTGTCATTTATGCCCGTGACTTACCTGAATAGTCTACAATGTGGGTGGGGATTTTCTCAGGAGTGACATCTGCAGGGATTATGATCTCTTCGGCCCGAGGAGGAACCTGGAGGGAAAAAAAGGGGTGATCACTGGCTATTCTCAGATGATCAAGGCTTGTCTCAATTTATCGGTGTACTTCCCTCACGTATAGACTCTAGATTTAAAAACAGGTGACGAAACAAAAACCACCATCCAGGGTCATTATAAGTCCTGCAAGAAGGACTGTCTTAGTTTCTTCTTTCTTTTCTTGTATGTCATAGGTAGTATAAATCTATTTACATTGTTTGTCCTGCTCATAAGTTCCTATGGGAAAGTTTTAAGGCTACAAGGCAGAGCAAGAACAGCAGCAGAGGGATAGAATCAGAGGGATAGAATCAAGATCAGGTGAAGTGTTAATACCACTTTACAAGGCCTTGGTAAGGCCACACTTGGAACACTGCATCCAGTTTTGGTCACCACGATGTAAAAAAAGATGTTGAGACTCTAGAAAGAGTGCAGAGAAGAGCAACAAAGATGATTAGGGGACTGGAGGCTAAAGCATATAAGAAAAGGCTGCTGGAATTGGGTATGTCTAGTTTAACGAAGAGAAGGACGAGGGGGGACATGATAGCAGTGTTCCAATATCTCAGGGGCTGCCCCAAAGAAGAGGGAGTCAAGCTACTCTCCAAAGCGCCAGAAGGCACGACAAGAAGCAACAGATGGAAACTAACCAAGGAGAGAAGCAACCTAGAACTAAGGAGAAACTTCCTGACAGTTAGAACAATTAACCAGTGGAACAAGAAGTTGTGAATGCTCCAACACTGGTTGGACTAGATGACCTCCAAGGTCCCTTCCAACTTTATTATTATTATATGCAGCAACAGCAACCTGTACTCACCTCCTCAGGGAACTCCTCACCCACCAGAGCCATGATCAAGGATGTTTTCCCCACTTGGGCTATAAGAGAGAGAAGCAATATAGTTACAGGTAGTCCTCAACTTACAAGCCATTCATTTAGTGACCATTGAATGTTACAACAAACACTGGGGGGAAAAAAGACCATTTCTCACACTTATGATTGTTGCAGCATCCCCATGGTCAGGTCATCAAAATTTGGACGCTTGGCAACTGGCATGTATTTATGACGGTTGCCGTGTCCTAGGGTCATGTGATCCCCTTTTGTGACCTTCTGACAAGCCAAGTCAATGGGGAGGCCCGGTTCACTTAACCAGTGTATTAATAATAGAATAGAATGGAACGTAATAGAATAGAAGAGAATAGTAACGTTATTATCACTTTAAATGTACACTAATCAGCATACATTAAAATGAAATTTTGTTGCATTCAGCTCTCAAAAAAAATACCATTATCTATGCATTCAAACACACACACGACACAGAGAAACATCACAGTCTAGTTCGAATGTATACACATACATGGCAAAAAAAAAAAAAAAGAATCCTGCAAATTTACAAGACGGATGGCACAAGGAACAAAGCCGTTACAGAATCTCGTAGTTCTGTTATAAATACTTCTAAACCTCCTCCCAGAGGGGAGCAACAAAAACAGACTGTGAAGTGGGTGTGTGGGGTCTCTAACAATGCTTTGAGCTCTCCGCACGTATAAGCGCTTGTAAACAGTATCCTGAATCACGGGAAGCAGCTTCCTAGAATCTTCTCAGCTGTCCTCACCACTCTTCTGTGTGGATCTTCTATCTGAGGCTCTGCTACCCCCAACCGTGCCTCTGTAAAAAGTGGCCAGGACAGAAGGAAAAAATGCGCTCTCCTCATCCAACGCAAGAAATGCAAAATGCTGTTTTGCATGCTTCACTAAGGATGACGTATGGAGAGACCAAGTTACTACTAATTTAATAACTGCAGTGGTTCACTTAACAACTGTGGCAAGAAAGGTTGTAAAGTGGGCAAAACTCACTTAATAAATGTCTTACTTAGCAATGGAAATTTTGGGCTGTTCTGGTCGTAAGTCGAGAGCTACATATATACTAGTGATGTGAGGGTTGGATCATCTCATATTAACCTCAGAACTGCAGCCTTTGACTGAAAACTGCTTAGTGAGCATCCTAGCTATACATGGTCAGCCAGCTCATGCTTGACCATCACAATGTTCATGCATGGTCACTGGCTCTGACTCCAAATGCAGGTTGTTTGCTTCTGGCCACAATTTACAGTTTTGGATCACATCTCACAAACCCAAGATATTGTGGACCATGGTAAAGGATTGTGGGAGTCAATCTACAACGCCCCAGTTTGCTTATCTCCGTTGCCAGAACAGCGACCAAGTATTTCCAAGTCAGAAGTTTGCATTGTTTAGTTTAACCCTGTGCTATGTCCAGAAATGAGTTGAAGCTCAAATATTTTGGTCAACAAAAGAGAAGCCAGGACTCACTGGAAAGGACCCTGATGTTGGGAAAGATGGAAGGCAAAAGGAGAAGAGGACGGCAGAGGATGAGATGGTTAAATAGGGTCATTGCTGCAATGAACATGAGTTTGGGCAAACTCTGAGGGACCATGGAGGACATGGGGCCTGGCGGGCTGTGGTCCAAAGAGTCATGAAGAGTTAGATACAACTTAGCGATTGAACAACATATCCTGAATTATCCAAATAAAATCCAGGTCTCATACTTGTTTTGTTGGGTTGTTTTTTTGGGAACACCTATCTCCAGCAAACTCCGCCAACCATCTACGATAGAAATAAGCAACCTGATCTTCTCCAGATGATGAGCATGATGAGCACGACTCGTCATGTTCCAGCCAAACGACAATTAATTAATTGCCAGTAATGATCAGAGCTAGAGTTTAAAGCTTCTAGGGGGGGGACCACCTTGTTCTAAAACAATCTGTTTGCTCGGAGAAAGGTATTTTTCTGAGGTTACATTTAAAAGGGCATGAAACAAAGTGTTCTTCACGGTAGGCATTTCCATGGTAGAGTTGTCAAGTTCCCAAGAGAAGCTCAATAAAGTCGGCCATAAAAAAAAAAGTGACAACACTGGTGCATTAGCAAGCCTTGGGGGAAAGATTTCAGCTTTTATTTATGGGGTGGCTTCAGGACAATGCCCAAGAAAGAGACTACAGCCCAGTTTTGTAACTGAGACACTACTCTGTAACTTGAACAAATATCTGATTGATTGGCTTTAATATCAAAATGGCAAGCTGAAGATTTTTGCAGATTCAGCCTGTTAAATGGTCAACTGGGACTCTGCGATACTTCAGGTTAGATTCCAAAAAGGTCCTATTAATTTCCAGAAAAGACAGAAAAGCCTGCTTATAAAGAATCACAGCCAGGTTAACAATGGCCCCTGATGTACTGTGAAGTAAGCCTTATTATAAACCTCCCAGAGTGAATGGCTTTATGGAAGAAATAAATATATCTATCATCTCTTTCCTTCTCTCTCTCTCTCTCTAATGTATATCTGTCTGTCCGTCCATCTGTCCACCCTATCATATATCTATCATCTCCTTCCTTCCTTCCTCCCCCCCCTCTCTCTCCCCATGAAAAGAAAAGCAGGAAATGTTTTCACTCTCTGGCTTTCAACAGTTTATTGGGTCACACCCAGATTTCACACCTAGATACCAGATTTTTTTTTTTTTTATTCCTTCTGGAAACGAATACTAGGATTCTGTTCCAGACACTGAGTTCCATCCATAGCTCCGCGTATGCAGGATGGATCTGGCTTGGACATTCTGTCTTTCCTCAAGAAGTTCCTCTCCTCCACATTACTATTTTAAAACCCACTAACAACCCCGGAAATTAAATTGGTTGAAAGTGAGAAGCAGTGATTTCAATTGCCTGTTGGGTTCACTGGAGTTTTAATTGAGCCTTTCTAATCCTAGACAAACATTATACATGCTAGATCAGGGGTCTGTCTATCTATCTATCATCCATTATCTCTGTCTCTATCTCAATCATCCATCATCTGTCTGTCTGTCTGTCTGTCTGTGTCTGTCTGTCTATCATCCATATCTGTCTCTATCAATCATCCATCATCTGTCTATCTATCTATCTATCTATCTATCTATCTATCTATCTATCTATCTATCTATCTATCTATCTATCTATCTATCTATCTATCTATCATCCATTATCTCTGTCTCTATCTCAATCATCCATCATCTGTCTGTCTGTCTGTGTCTGTCTGTCTATCATCCATATCTGTCTCTATCAATCATCCATCATCTGTCTATCTATCTGTCTATCTATCTATCATCCATTATCTCTGTCTCTGTCTCTATCTCAATCATCCATCATCTGTCTGTCTGTCTGTGTCTGTCTGTCTATCATCCATATCTGTCTCTATCAATCATCCATCATCTGTCTATCTATCTGTCTATCTATCTATCATCCATTATCTCTGTCTCTATCTCAATCATCCATCATCTGTCTGTCTGCCTGTCCGTCCGTCCGTCCGTCCGTCCGCCCGTCCGCCCGTCCGTCCATCCATCCATCCATCCATCCATCTCAATATATTTTGCCTTTTGCAAAATGGCATCCAGTAACATTCTATGTTATCTTAAACTATTTTCCATATGTTCTTCTACCTTTTCTCCAGGATTCCGATTCTGAATGGATTTTGACATAAGTTAAGCTATATAAATAAAAATGTAAATGTTCGTTTGTTCAAAATCTTAAATCTCCGAAAGTTCTTCACTGATTGCTTTGAAATTTTGACACAACGTTGCATTTGAATACGCACGTGTTTTTATATACCTACTATTATATAGATGTCACACCTGTGACAGGTAAAAACAAAAAAGGGCCAATCTTTAGAACTGTGTGGTTTAGATCTAGACACGGATTGCTTCTCACATGGACAATTATATGTTGTGTGTTCTAGAGTCGGCAAACCAGACAATCTCTATATCTGCACAGACAATGGAACAACAAAAAATATTGTATACCCACAAGCATTGTGAAATTAAACCTATTACAAACGTGCGCTTTCTCTTTTCTTTCTTTTCCATTTAACCAGACTGAGCCACAGCAACGCGTGGCCGGGTACAGCTAGTTAAAAAATAATGTAAGCATTTAGCAAAGGTTAAATATAAATAAAAACTAAATACTAATACCAAAGATTGCAGCAGCCTGAAAATAGACATATTTATCACCACCATAGGCCAGAGAGCATAGTGCCAGATGAAGGATTCTGCTTTCCATATTATTTTGCGAAGAACCTTTTAGAACAGTTTTGCAAGGTATCCTCTGCCCAACTCTTTCAGCTGGTCTGTAAGTTATAATCAGGTTGGACTGCTGTAGCAAAAATGTCAGGATATTTTAGGATCAGGTCTCTTTCTATCATTAGTTATTTATTTAATTATAAATATAAAACTGCTGCAATCTAGGCCAACTCTTATATTACGTCAGTTAAAATATATGAAATGAAGAAACTAAAGTGCTAAAGAATTCAAACCGACAGGCCACTGCCACATAAATCCCCGGACTTAACAACTGTCAAATAAGAAAGACAAAAAAAGTTTGGATAGTGGACATGGCAGTACATGGAGTTCACAGAATAAAAGTGAAAGAACTGAATCGCAAAACACAAAATACAAGATCTGCACACAGAAGTAGACTGAGCTTGGTGAAAAAAGGAAAAGTAGTAGCAATAGTGATTAGGCACCTTCGATGCAATCCCAAAAAATCTGGAGCACCATTAACACGGGCAAAATCCCAATCAGTCAATTGCAGAGAGACGGCTTGGAACACCTTACATCCTGTGACGATACCTTTAACACCATCAAACAACATCTGTCTTAACCCAGGTCCTTGGGAAGGACTCCATAGGTGGATGAAAATGCCAAATCCAATCTGAACATCTGGCTATGCGATGAACCACAATCACATATCAAATTCGTAGGCTGCCTGATTTCCAACAACTCTGGACAGCTCACAACCATTAAAAAAAATACATTAGCAATCCAGAGACATTAAAAGATTAAAAAAATATAAGATGCCAAGTGCAATAGAGCAAGGGATTGTCCTAAGTCCCTTTTTCCACTGCCATCGTAACTTTGGTCACTAAATGAACTGTTGTAAATCGAGGACAACCTGTATTCGCCACTAAGCTGATCATAGCTTTGTAGCAGGACTACACTGAAACATCCACAGCCACCCAGAATCCCAATAAGCGGCATTATTTAAAAGTGCACCACCCCTGAAGCATGGAATCAGCGGGGCAGGTGCTACGGGAAGACAGGTGGTTCCACCTGGCCTGATGCTACCTGGGTGGCGCAACCAGCACCTTAAACTGCACCTGGACGCAAGCCGGCAACCATCGCAGAGGTGGCACGCAGGCATACCGAGGCACGCCCCATGTCTCGCTTGCCTTGCTGCATCATGGACCGGTTGAAGCTCCCGGGTGGTCTTCAAGGGCAGCCCCGCGTAGAGAGCACTGCAGTAGTCCAGCCATGTAAGCAATGGAAGTTGAAGGCCAACTAAGGCAGGGACGCCTCCTCCCTCTCTGGGATGCAACTCTCCCACCCTTCTTGGACCCCTCATCCTAACCCCATTCCCACGTGTCCCGATTCCACCCCTGACCCTCCTCCAAGGTCATCCCCAGGCCTCCTGACTCCACCCACAGCGCCCTAGCTCCGCCCCTCCCGGCCCCGCCCACAGACCCCCCCCTGGCTCCTCCCCCGCCCCCTTTTCTCGCGGCTGCCGCAAAGAGTCGCCCCTTGAGCGCCCACGCGGCGGCGCTTCCCGCCCCCGGGCTGCCCCCGATCCCGGCAGGCCGCCCCTCGCCCGCCCTCACCTTCCCCCAGCAGGAGGATGCGCACGTCCCGCCTCATCCCCGCGGCTTCGGGGGTGGGAGGAGGGCGGCTGCAGCGACCGCCGCTCGCCCCGCTGCTTCCCACCCTTCTCGGCGCTGCCGCCGTCGGGCTCTCGCTTCCGCTTCCGGCTTTCCGCCCGGCGCTGCGTCCTGGCCTGGCGCGCCCTCTGCGGCCGGAGGGCCAAACGGCAGCCTTTCTGCTTGGCAAGGCGAGAGGGACCACCTTCATTTGCTAGCTGCAAATATCAGTTGCCCCGAAGTTTAGCGGGGAGAATTGCGATGCGCTGGACCCCAACTGGGCGAGTCCAGTTAGTCCTCGAGTTACAACAAAGTTACAAGGTCATTGAAAGAAAGGGCTCGCCTTTACAACCATTGTAGCATTCCCCCTGGTCATGTGATCAAAATTTTCGGATGCTTGACGACTGATTCACGTTTATGACGGTTGTCGTGTCCTGTGATCCCCTTTTGGGACCTTCTGACGAGCAAAGTCCACGGGAAAGCCAGGTTCACGTGACAACCGGGTTACTTGCTTAACAACTGCAGTGATTCACGTAGCAACGGTGGCAAAAAAAGGTCGTAAAAATGGGACAAAACTCACATCACAGATGTTTCACTTAGCAACAGAAATGTTGGGCTCAGCTAAGGTCGAGGACCAGCTGTATTTACTGCAGTGTTCTCAAACTCATGCAGGCTGGGGGATTTTGGGTGTTGAAGCCCACACATCTTAAAGGTGCCGAGGTTGAGAAACGTCGATTTTAAAGAAAAAGAACTCGGAGCTTTAGTGGGTTCGTCTGCTTCTGGACTGGCAGCTAGCCCCTGGGATTCTGGCCCAACTACTCATTACTTAGGGTGAGATAGTAGAATTCTGGTCCTGGGTAAGAAGGCGATGGGATAATTGATATTTCGGGATGTAATAATAAGTAATAATAAAGTAATAAAGTAATAATAATAAAGTTGGAAGGGACCTTGGAGGTCATCAAGTACAAACCCCTGCTCAGGCAGGAAACCCTATACCATTTCAGACAAATGGCTGTCCAGTCTCTTCTTAAAAACCTCCAGTGTTGAAGCATTCACCGCTTCTGGAGGCAGGTTGTTCCACTGGTTAATTGTTCTCACTGTCAGGAAGTTTCTCCTTAGTTCTAGGTTGCTTCTCTCCTTGATGAGTTTCCATCCGTTGCTTCTTGTCCTGCCTTCAGGACATGTGAACTTCATGTGAACTTCCCTTGAATGTATTGAGCCAACCAAGGAAAGGATGAGCCAATCTTCTCCAGTTCACTGCTGTCTCCAGATGTGTGGTGGGGATGCAGCTGGCTGAGCTCCCAGCCATGCCTGAGTATCTCTAAGTGTGGAATGGCATCGTGGCTCTTGACATCACATCACTTGTGCAATGGTGAGACCCAGACCGTGTAATTGTGGCTTTGCAGAGAGGATTGTGTAACCATGCAGGTTGTTGTGCTCTCCTTGTAAGCAGCACCAAAAGCTTGTTATCTGTCTCCACAATTGCATTTTGACATTTGGCATTCTTTTTTCAATCTACATATCTGTTAGTGACCTTTTCTTTTTCCATCCATCCATCCATCCACCCATCCATCCATCCATCCATCCATCCATCAACAATTGCAGCCTGAGTTTGGATGTTCCTCTGGCAGAAAAGTTACTAAAATCAATGGCTTTTACTCCCAAAGAAGGGCGCCACAAGAATACATACCCAAAAGACACCATGAATAAACAGATCCAAACTATTTTATTAAATCACCTGCCCCAAATTGCTGTTGTTGAATCCTTGCATATCATATTTTAGATTCCTCTTTCAAAATTCTGTGCTGCCAAAGCAAGTATGGGAAGCAGACAAAAAAACAAACCATCGATAAAATAAAGGCGGGCCCATAATATACAGAGCCATTAGATCAAAAAGGGATCACTATGTCAAAACTGACTGAGGGAGTCATCGCCAGAGAGCTACCTATATGGATGAAATAACCAAATCAAAACCTTTGTAAGAACTCACATTCATGGATATAATTTTGGGAACCCCAGATAATAAAATGCTGTATAAAAGACAATCTATTAATTACTCTGCTCCTGCTCTGGGTTGTAATATCCACTTGCACTAAGGGAGATCTAGAAGTGTTGAATGAGACAATTTCACCAAACCACTCGCAAATTCCTCTTCCTATTCTTGTCCAAACATCTCCAGTTATGACCTTCTAATTATTATGATGTGTTATAGCACAATGTTTCTCAAGCTTATCAATTTTAAGATGTGTGGACTTCAACTCCCAGAATTCCCCAGCCAGCTATGCTGACTGGAGAATTCTGGGAATTGAAGTCCACGCATCTTAAAGTTGCCAAGCTTGAGAAACACCGTGCTATAGTTATTCTGAGGCTTTCTTTTTCAGGAACCAGAAATGCTTTCTCCAGCATTTTAACTCCTGGGGATAAATCATCCCTTGTGATGCCTTATGACTGACTTTAATTTCGTTGTGGGATATTCCACAAAACAAACGGAATCTTCGCAATGTGTTTCTTCTAAATTCTAGGAGCTCATAAACTGCCGTACAAGAACCCTATAAACTTTTCACTGAAGCTTTGGGAAAAAACCCAGTGATGGTTGTTTCAAAACGTGGCCGTTCACCTCTGTGCTGATGGTTGGGCAAGCCTCTGGCAACCTGGCCTGCCTCCCTGCAGTGTGAAATGGTAGATGTGGTCCCTGCTTAAACGGTAGCCGCAGAGGAGATCAGAAGGAGGGGTCACCAAAGCCAACTTCTAACTGGACTTGCTTGACCTCCTGCAGGAGATCGGGATTGTCCAACTCCAGCTGCAACAGAAGGAAAAACGGGTAAGGGACAATTTAAAAAAAATCTGTCAGATATACTCAAAGAAGGAAAGTGAAGTATCCTATTTCAACCCAAAATAAGACAAATGAAAAATGCCTCCTTGTTCATTTGTTTGTATGCATGCATGTGTGTGTGTGTGTGACAGAAGTGAAGAGAACCTGTGGCCTAGAGGTTAATACAGCTGCCTAACATGCAAGCTGCCCAGGTTCAAATCTCAGAAGGGTACGGCTAGCTGATGAGAGCCAAATAGCTCGAATAGCTATATTAGTCTCCCTTTAACTCTTTGTCAGCAAAATCTAAATTTACAGAAATAGTTTTTTGCAGTAGCGACTTGAGCCTGCAAAATGCTCCTAGATTGGGGCTGAAAGGCAAAAATAATCATAACAGCAGATCAGAACACCAGGTCTACCCATAGTATGGGAAGGAAGTATGGGTAGACTGGGGGGAAGGGGTGTTTCATTAAAAAAGAAAAAGAAAAAAAACACTTAATTTATATCTCCTCCCCGAGTCTCCTCCCTCCCTGACATAGCTGACAAAGTGAGAAGAGCCTGTGACCTAGAAGTTAATACAGCTCCCTAATGTGCAAGTAGCCCAGGTTCAAATCTCAGAAGGGTACGGCTAGCTGATGAGAGCCAAATAGCTCGAAATAGCTATATTAGTCTCCCTTTAACTCTTTGTCAGCAAAATCTAAATTTACAGACATTTCCGTTGCTAAGCAAGACAGTTATTAAGTGAGTTTTGCCCCATTTTACAAGCTTTCTTGTCACGGTTGAATCACTCCAGATATTAAGTTAGTAACACAGCTGTTAGGTGAATCAGACTTCCTCACTGTCTTTGCTCGCCAGAAGGCTGTAAAAGGGGATCATGTGATCCAGGAACACTACAACCGTCATAAATGCATGCCAGTTGCTAAGCACCCGGATTTTTGATCACGTGACCCTGGGGATACTGCAAAGGTCCTAAGGGTGAAAAACAGTCCTAGGTCACTTTTTCCAGTGCCTTTGTAACTTCGAACGGTCACTAAATGAACTGTCATAAGTCAAGGACCACCTGTGCTGGGAAAGGCCTTGGAGATTGCACCCTTCCAGAGATCTGATATGCTTGAAGGAGGGAAAAAAAAAAAAGGTTGACCAACCTTCACAGCGTATTTATACGATTGTTCGGCCTCCAGTTGTCTTCCGCCCTAAGGGAGGGAAAACAGCAATCTGTATTAAACAGGTTCTGACAAGGCAGAAAAAACCCTGAAAGGCTTAATTGTATTTTAAAGGAAAACAGGGAATGGAGGGATAAATTCCCCAGAGGAAGGTCTCTCGTCAAATTGAGAAGGGTAAGAAAAAAAACGGCAACTCCGAAAATGGAAAGGGTGAGGTGAGGCTCTGAGGTGAAAACACATTTCCACATTTCTGCCTTGACCCAGAACTTCCTTCAATCCGTTCGTTTGACTTGTCAAATTCCCTGGAAAAGGACTTCAAGTGGTTAGAAGCCATTTTCACTCAAAGGAGCCTTGAATTCATTCCTACTCTGACCCCTAGGACTGCAGAGAAGAGGAAATTCTTAGCGGTTGGACAAAAGGTGAGCTCTGGAGACTCACCTTCATGCAGACCAAAGCCAGGTAGGCCCACACTTCCGCATTGCTGTTGTTGAGGGCGTTGGCTTCGGAAAGAGCATCCTCGGCCTCGACCATTTCTTTGAGCTACCGGAAAGAGAGTTACTCATGAAAAGCCAACGTCGAAAAAGATTAAATTGTGGCAACTGGAATTGGAGAGGTTTCGTTACTCATTCAAGTAACTTCATCAGTCAAAAAAAAAAAAAGGCTGAGTCAGAGAGTCTTCATTTACATATTGCAATACATTTTGGGGAGAACGACGTGCCTTTGGAAATTGTGAAATGGTATAGAGTTTCCTGCCTGAGCAGGGGGTTGGACTAGAAGACCTCCAAGGTCCCTTCCAACTATTCTATTCTATTCTATTCTATTCTATTCTATTCTATTCTATTCTATTCTATTCTATTCTATTCTATTCTATTCTATTCTCTCTTTATTCTATTCTATTCTATTCTATTCTATTCTATTCTATTCTATTCTATTCTCTCTTTATTCTATTCTATTCTATTCTATTCTGTTCTGTTCTGTTCTGTTCCGTTCCGTTCCGTTCCCTTCCATATAAAGTTTCTATTCTATTCTATTCTATTCTATTCTATTCTCTCTTTATTCTATTCTATTCTATTCTATTCTATTCTATTCTATTCTATTCTATTCTATTCTATATAAAGATTCTATTCTATTCTATTCTATTCTATTCTATTCTATTCTATTCTATTCTATTCTATTCTATTCTATTCTATTCTATTGTCCCAACCTAGTATTTTATATTCTACAAACCTGAAGTCCAAACTCCGTCTCTTACCCTGTAGCAAGCGATTCCTACTCCCAGCCACGTGAGACACGAAGGTGATTTCTTACTGGCCAGAAGGTAAATGTGCTTGGCTTTGTCATACTGCCAAAAGAAACGAGAGATAATTACTCTCCAGGCCGTGGCAATTTAGGACGGCTTCTCCTTGCTTGTTGACAAAAGCGACCTGCAGTCCTGCAAACGGGGAAGAGGTTATTAGCAGCTGTTTGAACATGGCTTGCTCCAGGCAGGCGGCTAGAGAAGGCTCATAAAACTTCAGAAACCATCACATAAAACAGGAGAGTGTGATAGTGGGACAGAACCCATCCTGGCTATCAGAGGCAAATGGAAACATTATGGAAGGATGAAGTATGAAATTAGCTTTGACCAATGGCTGGAATGTATTTTCTCCCAAATGGAAAAAAAATATAAATGTTTCTTTCTTTCTTCTGCCTAACTAATTTTGGGGAAGGGAAGAAACCGGTTTAAGCAAATTGTTATTATTATTAAAAAATAACCCTTTCATAGGAAATAATTGCTTCTTAGTCTACTATCCTGAGTGCACAAAGCAGCAAGAATCTGAACACTAGCGAGCCTCATCGCAAACCCCCCAAACTCAACAAATCAACCCCAACCTCAACATAGTATAATAGTGGTCATTATCTTTACAGTGTACATTGGCACTAACCGCACTAGCAATTAGTTAGCTAATTGGTTGCAACAATCCTCTTCTTTTCCCTCTGTAGTGTCCACAATAGCTAGCCAGCATTGAATCATCTGCTATTTTGGCCCAATACACAACCATCACATTCCTCTATCTATCGGGTCTAAGCCAACAGCAGCCTGGACAGGAATATTCACTCCTTCCTGTTGTGCAGGCTAGACTGGACATTTTAAAAGAAAACAGTTACTGAACCACAACTCACAAGGCACAAATCCGGTCGCAAAACCTGGAACTGCTCAGACGGCCTGAAGTGAAAACAAAACTCTCCAAAGAGACTTGTCGCGTTCTAAATCTGAAAAGCGTTCAAAAGGTTCACTGGCAACTCATCATCCTTTGAGGGCAGACAGCTTTGCACAGCTAAGCTGTCCCCTTGAAGTATCTGAAGTCCTGAGGAGTTTCACTGCGCACAATGCACAACACAGGCACAACCCTTTCAAATTTCCCAGTCTGTTTTGTTGCTCTGAGAAGCCTCCAAAGATAGGTCTGCTACCACAGCCTTCCTCTGGTTGGTTGGTTCGTTCATTCATTCATTCATTCATTCATTCATTCATTCATTCATTCATTCATTCATTCATTCATTCATTCATTCATTCACTTACTTACTTAACTCTCCACAAATCTGGATGCTTACAATGATCAAATGAAGACAATCAAACCAATAAAACGTAGAAGAGAAAAATATGATGGAAAGGGTGATGAAGAGGGGGGATCTCTCCTGGGTGAAGAAGGACCAAGGAATTACCAACTCAATAAACAAAAGCCTAATCGAACAACCACCAAGAACACTCCAGCCAAAACTGACAGGGAAAGCCACTAATATATAAATCTCACTCCCTTCTAGCACTGATGATGTTCCCTAGTTGGGTAATGAAATGTCTGCAAGAAAACAACCAAGCTCAGAGAGCACCAAGGACCCCACAGTCGTCGTCGTCCTCCTCCTCCTCCTCCTCGTCCTCCTCCTCGTCCTCCTCCTCGTCCTCTTCCTCCTCCTCCTCCTCCTCCTCCCCTTCCCCTCCCCTTCCCCTCCTTCTGCTCCCCCTCCTCCTCTTTACAAACCCCACTCCCTTCTAGCACTGATGATGTTACCTAGTTGGGTAATGAAATGTCTGCAAGAAAACAACCAAGCTCAGAAAGCACCAAGGACCCCACAGTCCTCCTCCTCCTCCTCCCCTTCCCCTCCTTCTGCTCCCCCTCCTCCTCTCTACAAACCCCACTCCCTTCTAGCACTGATGATGTTACCTAGTTGGGTATTGAAATGTCTGCAAGAAAACAGTCAAGCTCAGAGAGCACCAAGGACTCCATAGTTCAGCCCGAGGTACAAATAATCTCTTGTTCTGGCATCTACATATAAACAGAAGGCAAATCCCTCTCCCTTCTAGCACTGACCATGTTCTTTAGTTGGGTAATGAAATGTCCGCCAGAAAACAAGTTCCAAGGACCAAGGACCCTACAGCTCAACCCTGAGCTACAAATGTTCTCTTCCGTTGGAACCAGGTCTTAACGGCTCTTCCCAATAACACTGGATTGGGGGTCATTTGGATCCTGGGGGTCAAACCGAGACCACCTTCCTGCCCATCAAAGTTCCATGGGGCAATCATCGCAAGACAATGAATCCACCAGGATCTTGTTGGTCCCATTTCTACCTTCTCACCTCCTTGCCTTCCAGATAGATGGATCCCAATCGCAGATACACCGTATGCATATCCTTCGCGTCCGTCACAAAGCTGATTGTGCGTTCGTAGCAGGACTTTGCGTCGCTGAAATTCCCGGTCAAGTAGAAGAGGTGGCCTTTTTGAGCCCAAACCTCTGGATTCTAGAGAGGGAGCAGAGAAATGGAGGGGCTAAGCATGACCTGGGGAGGCTGGCGATGAATCAGAGAATCATAGGGCTGGAAGAGACCTTGGAGATCATCTAGTCCAACTGTCTGGTCAAGGCAGGAGACCTTATATCACCCTGGTTAAATCAATACCCCCCCCTTAAAACCTAAGTAGGTAATGGAGCTGGTGAGTGGGAAATTCTGAAATTATTAAGATGTTTACAAAGGAGTGTTCTACCCAAGAGACAGGAATAATTATTGCATTTTAGCCCACTAGAAGGGAAGATGATCTAGAACAGGGGTAGGCAAACTTGGCTCTTTTATGACTCGTGGACTTCAACTCCCAGAATTCCTCAGCCAGCATGGCTCAGCTTGGAAACCTCTCCCTTTCCCCTCAGCGTGGCCGGCTCAGGAATTCTGGGAGTTGAAGTCCACGAGTCATAAAAGAGCCAAGGTTGCCTACCCCTGCCCAAATGCCTGAATTTTGATCACGTGACCGTGAGGAAAAAATATTTAAATATTTAAACCAGGGGTCTTCAATCTTGGCTCTTTTATGACTCGTGGACTTCAACTCCCAGAATTCCTGAGCCAGCATGGCTCAGCTTGGAAACCTCTCCCTTTCCCTCAGCATGGCTGGCTCAGGAATTCTGGGAGTTGAAGTCCACGAGTCATACAAGGTTGCCTACCCCTGCCCAAATGCCTGAATTTTGATCACGTGACCGTGAGGAAAAAATATTTAAATATTTAAACCAGGGGTCTTCAATCTTGGCTCTTTTATGACTCGTGGACTTCAACTCCCAGAATTCCTGAGCCAGCATGGCTCAGCTTGGAAACCTCTCCCTTTCCCCTCAGCATGGCTGACTCAGGAATTCTGGGAGTTGAAGTCCACGAGTCATAAAAGAGCCAAGGTTGCCTACCCCTGATCTAGAATAAAGCTGGTCAATCTGCCACTGGGAGTTGGAACGTTTCCTTGAAACTGAAGAAGTTTCCTGGGTGAGAAGCGAAATGTCTTCAAGGAAAAACCAAGTCCAGTTGCCTTTTGGAAAAAGCACCTTTGGGACAACCGTGACCTGGGTGAGAATCTCCATAGTTATCTAGGGAGACTAACATGAGTAGTGATTTCAAGCTGGAGTGGGGAAGCCTAAACTTCTTAGTTTCATAGCAATTCTGCTCAGGAAGGCTACAATGATGTCAGCAGAACCAGCTATCTCTCGTGCAGCGTTTCTCAAGCTTGCCAACTTGAAGATGCGTGGACTTCAACTTCCAGAATGGCTGGCTGGCTGGGGAATTCTGGGAATTGAAGTCCACGTATCTTAAAGTTGACAAGCTCTAGTGAGTTTCTGGCAGGCAGCCTCCCAATCGTTTCCCTCACAACTTTGTTCAAAACTGGGGGGGGGGGGGTGGTTAAGCAGAAGTTCCTAGTAGTTCTGCAGATGGCTGTTTTTGCCACTGGGGCAAATATCACACCAGAGTGGGTGGGCGGGTGGGTGATGCCAGCATATGTTCAAATAAATGCAAATAAATACACCTTGGGTGGAGAGTAGGGAAAAAAATTGCAAACGGAAGAGTTTGCAAATGAAATTGCAAACGACAGGAAAGAATAAAATATATGGCATCCTTGAGCTGACGTGTTCTGTTTGGTAGATGGGTGGCATACAAATCTAATCAATCTATCTATCAATCAATCTTGGGTACCTGGAAAACCCCCAAAGTGCTAAGGAGAGGTACCCACCAGGTAATCAATCTGCATAGCCATTTCCAAGCTCTCTTCTGACTGGTCGTATTCTTTCTTGAGCATGTAGGTCTGGGCCAGCACCAAGTAATATTCACAGCTGGGGCCTCCTTGTGGAGAGATCAATTCATGTGCCAGGGCCCTGTGAACAAACTGGAAGGAGAACGTCAACCCTTGGTTGCATCTAGTATAGTATAGGGGGTACCTTGCTCAATAGTAGTAACTGTGAGAGGGACCTCNCTGCCAAAAAGGCCAACACAGTGCTAGGCTGCATTAACAGAGGGATAGAATCAAGATCACGTGAAGTGTTAATACCACTTTACAATGCCTTGGTAAGGCCACACTTGGAATACTGCATCCAGTTTTGGTCACCACGATGTAAAAAAGATGTTGAGACTCTAGAAAGAGTACAGAGAAGAGCAACAAAGATGATTAGGGGTCTGGAGGCTAAACCATATAAGGAACGGTTGCTGGAATTGGGGATGTCTGATTTAATGAAGAGAAGGACGAGGGGGGACATGATAGCAGCGTTCCAATATCTCAGGGGCTGCCCCAAAGAAGAGGAAGTCAAGCTATTTTCCAAAGCGCCTGAAAGCAGGACAAGAAGCAATGGATGGAAACTGATCAAGGAGAGAAGCAACCTAGAACTAAGGAGAAACTTCCTGACAGAACAATTAACCAGTGGAACAACCTGCCTCCAGAAGTGGTAAATGCTCCAACACTGGAAGTTTTTAAGAAGAGACTGGACAGCCATTTGTCCGAAATGGTATAGGGTTTCCTGCCTGAGCAGGGGGTTGGACTTGATGACCTCCAAGGTCCCTTCCAACTTTATCATTATTATTATCTTTGATGCGGGACCATTGTAATCCCAGACTGTCCCACCTTGCTACTCCAAGTCTTCTTGTAGCTACTCCTGGGAGTCTCTTTAGAGCTTCCTCTTGCCCTATTGATGAAATATGTTCAGTAACTGGGAGTTTCTTTGATTAACGTTTCTAGTTGTTTGAACTAAAAAAAAAAAGCGAGTTCTCCATCACAAATGCAGAATCTGATAAGAGCTTGCCTGTTAAAGGCAAGGACTGGGCAAAGATTTGAAACTTTAGTAATTTGCAAACTTATTATGCCTCATTACCATGTAAAAAAGCAAGGACTGGGCAAAGAAGCTTCTTTAGCTCTGACTGGATGGTGGAGAACAGAAGGACACTACACATCCTTTGCAAAATAAGTTGATTCCCCTCTTCTTTGTGGCAGCCCCTCAAATACTGGAATACTGCTATCGTGTTCCCCCTAGTCCTTCTTTCCTCTAGACTAGCCAAACCCAAATCCTGTAACCGTCCTTCGTATGTTTTAGTCTCCAGGTCTTTAATCATCTTAGTTGCTCTTCTCTGCACTTTTTCCAAGGTCTCAACATCTTTTTTGTGTCGTGGTGAGCAAAGCTGGATGCACTATTCTTTTTTCATTAGAGTCATAAAACAGCTTGAGGAATCCGCTGCCTGTCCCCATGATGCCTTCGCTCTGCTTTAACTCCAGCTGGTGATTTGCTGGGCCCAGCGACGGAGCGAAGAAGACAACGGAGAGACTCAGCACAATTTATCAGCGCGGTGGCAGCTTTTTCTGGCTGCACAGCAAGTGCTCAGTCCTACCCCGTTTCATTGCTGCAGAAAGGCTTTTGGAGATAAAAGGGAAATAACTATGATTAAGCTGAGAGAAAGGGAAAGGGCGAAGATTCGAGAAGTAATAATAATAATAATAATAACAACAACAACAACAACAACAACAATAATAATAATAATAATAAAGTTGGAAGGGACCTTGGAGGTCATGTAGTCCAACCCCCTGCTCAGGCAGGAAAGCCTATACCATTTTGGACAAATGGCTGTCCAGTCTCTTCTTAAAAACTTCCAGTGTTGGAGCATTCACCGCTTCTGGAGGCAGGTTGTTCCACTGGTTAATTGTTCTCACTGTCAGGAAATTTCTCTGTAGTTCTAGGTTGCTTCTCTCTTTGGTTAGTTTCCATCCGTTGCTTCTTGTCCTGCCTTCAGGCACTTTGGAGAATAGCTTGACTCCCTCTTCTTTGGGGCAGCCCCTGAGATACTGGAACACGGCTATCCTGTCCCCCCTCATCCTTCTCTTCATTAAACTGGACATACCCAATTCCAGCAATTGTTCCTTATATGTTTTAGCGTCCAGTCCTGTAATCATCTTTGTACTCTTTCTAGAGTCTCAGCATCTTTTTTACATCGTGGTGGCCAAAACTGGATGCAGTATTCCAAGTGTGGCCTTACCAAGGCATTGTAAGTAATGACAATCAGTGATGTAATTTGGAAAGATCACCGCAGTCCTCGACTTACAACAGTTCATTTAGTGAACAAAGTTATAATGGCATGGGAAAAAGTGACTTATGACTATTTTTCACATTTACAACCACTGCAGCAGCCTCCTGGTCACGTGATCAAAATTCAGACGCTTGGCAGCTGGCTCATATTTATGACGGTCGCAGTGTCCCGAGGTCATGCGATTACCCCTTTTGTGACCTTCCGACAAACAAAGTCAATAGGGAAGCCAGATTCATTTAACAACTGTATTACTAACTTAACAGCTGCAGGGATTCACTTAACAACTGTGGCAAGAAAGGTCATAGAATGGGGCAAAACTCACTTAACAACTGTTTCCCTCAGCAACAGAAATTTTGGGCTCAGTTGTGGTCGTTAAGTCCAGGGCTACCTTGAATAATAAATCTGAATAATAAAATAATCAATGATTTAATAATGAATAAGTTAAATTAAATAAAATAATAAAAACATTCCTGCTCACTACGTCAGCCTCTCTCAATCACACCCCCTTCACAAAAGCCATCAGAAAACAAATTTGTGCAACCTTGCCCTTTCTGCTTCCGTGGCTGGAGCAGAAAGAGGGATGGTTGGCTGTGACACCAATGGCTGGAGGCGCTCTTGGTAACGCCAAACTCAATGTGCCTAAACATTTTCACGGCCGCCTCTAGCCTCGGTTGACCCCGCACTCACCTGAAGAGCACTGACTTCCAAGAGGAATTTTATTGTTTCCATGAAAATAGAGGTGGTTTGCTGGGGGACAATAGCTGATTCAAATGAAACTGCAGCAGGCTTGGGCATTTCTGAAATGAAACCAGAGAGCCAGGAATTCGAGGGAAACATCTAAACAGCAGGTTAGCTTGGTCAGGCTAGCGAGACACTGGGGAAGCAGGCACATCAGCGCCTGCATTTTCTGCATCGTATGAGAAGAGCACATCTTCCTATCACTGTCCTTACCACTTTCTCTAGAGGGATGATTGAAAGCATCCTGTCGTATCGTATTACCGTGCGGTTTGGAGGCATTACTGTTTTGGACAGGAAGGCTGTGCAGAGAGTGGTGAGGACAGCAGAAAAGACTATTGGATGATCACCTCCTTTTATCCAGGACATGGCATATAAGCGATGCTTGATCAGGGTCTGCGGTATTGCTTGGGACGCTACATATCTTCTCCATGACCGGTTTTCTTTGTTACCTTCTGGGAGGAGGCTTTGTGGTATCCAAAGAAGAACAACAAGATTCTGTAATGGCTTTATACCATATAGTATTAACCTTATGAACTCTGAAGACTATTTTTTGTATTCTAAATGGTGGTCAACACAGCTGCCTAACATGCAAGCAGCCCAGGGTATGGCTGGCTGATGAGAGCTAACTAGCTTGAAATAGCTATCCCAGTCCCCCTTTAACTCTGTTAGCAATCCAAAAAAAATTAGCGCATATATGTATGTATGTATATGTGTTTGTGTGTATAGCATATGCATATGTATGTGCATGCATGTGTATGTGTGTGTATATATCTCTCATCTATCTTATCTCGTATATCTTATCTCATCTCATCTTATTTTGAAGCAGAGAATCAACCATTTTTCTTTGTTTCCCAGTGCTTGGTTAATAGAATTTCAGTTCTGCAACCTTGTTTTGCAGCCTTGTAGCGAGTTTCCAGCTGGATCTCAACTTGTGCAGCAGCAAGCTCGACCCACTTTCATCAGAATGACAAACACCGTTTGCAGCACTGTATTGGAAGATCTGGGCCTTGTGTGTGTGTGTGCGTGTGTGTGTGAGGGTATGTGTGTATGTGATGTGGCAATGGAAGACCCAAAGGAGTAGGAGTTGCAGCCCAACAACACAAGGCTGCTATTGCCAATCTGTGCCCACCCAACCGCAGCTAATGCTTTGAGAATGATTTAGCGATATGTTCCCACCTTGAATTTCAACATGGAACACAACTCCTTGCGTGGCTGGATGCTACTGAGTTGAGAGGGAGGGACAGCGGTGGAACCCGAATGAAAGATGAAAGGAGAGGAGTCTGTGGAGATTCTCAATCATCCAGGTCATGGTTGTCCCAAAGATGTTTTTCCAAAAGCAACAGGACTTTCTTGGGTGCTTTTTCCTTGAAAATGTTTCGCTTCTCATCCAAAAAGCTGAAAAAGTCCAAGAAAATTCAGTTGCCTTCTGGAAAAGCACCTTTGGTGCTTTGGTGAGAGGCCCTCAGAAAGATAAGGAGCTCTCTGTAGCTAGCATGAACTGTGCTGGCGCAGCAGTTAGAATACAGTATTGCAGGCTAGTTCACTGCTCACTGACAGGAGTTCGATCCTGACTGGCTCAAGGTTGACTCAGCCTTTCATCCTTCCGGTAAAATGAGGAGCCAGATTGTTGGGGGGACAATAGGCTGACCCTGTAAACCGCTTAGAGAGGGCTGTAAAGCACTATGAAGCGGTATATACATCTAAGTGCTATTGCTATCGCCTAAGGTTGCCTACCTCTCTGAGTGCTCAGCCTAAATTTGCTGGGTGTAACGGACAATCTCTTGAACGGTTTATGTACGGTATCCTCTTCTGTTGCACGAAGCGAGCCGGCTGGTTCCGAAGATTCTGCTTGGATTTTCGCTGCGGATTCTGGAGATTCTTCTGGAGATAAAAAAGGAAGCCAACCCGTATGAGAACACAAAAGCCAGCCTAATTTGACTAGCAACTGGATAGCGGTTCTGCGGAAAGTCTCCATTTAACTAAAATCTAAAACTAAGGTTTCCCCTTTCCAGTCATGTCCAACTCTATGGCAGGGGTAGGCAACCTTGGCTCTTTTATGACTCGTGGACTTCAACTCCCAGAATTCCTGAGCCAGCATGGCTCAGCTTGGAAACCTCTCCCTTTCCCCTCAGCATGGCTGGCTCAGGAATTCTGGGAGTTGAAGTCCACGAGCCATAAAAGAGCCAAGGTTGTCTACCCCTGCTCTAGGGGATGGTGTTCATCTCTGTTTCCTAGGCAGGGGAGCCACTGTTGCCCGAAGACGCTTCCGTGGTCATGTGGCTGGCATGGCTGTACGCCAGGCGCACGGAATGTCGTTACTTTCCCACCAAAGTGGTACCTATTTATCTGCTTGCATTTGCATGCTTTCGAACTGCTAGGCGGGCGGGAGATGAGGTAAGGAACGGGAGCTCAAGCCGTCGTGCATTGCTCAGGTCTCGAACGGCCAACCTTCCGGTTGACAAGCCTACACCTTGTCTAGCACTGGTCAGGAGCTTAATTAACTTCCTGAGTTAATTTAGGGGGTGCGCAGCCTGTTGGCCAGGGGATCCATGGGAACAATGTCAGTCTTCTGGTAGGACCCTCTTCGCTGACTCTCACCGTCAGCCAATTCCCAAGGAGAAATTTCTTTGATAGTGAGAAATTAATCAACGGAACAGTTTGCCTCCTGGAATTGTGGGTGCTTCATCGCTGGAGGTTTTCAAACATAAGCTGGACAACCATTTGTCCGGGATAGTATAATGTCTTCTGCCTTGAGTATGGGGTGAGGGTCCCTTCCAGTCCTATAATTCTATAATTCTCTTCGTTTTTCCAGATTGTTTTTTCCTGGGCCCAGGATAATGGGTCTGAGATGCCCTGGGAGCACAGTGGTTAGAGTGCAGTACTGCAGGCTAACTCTGCCCACCCTCTGGAATTTGATCCTGATGGGAACTCAAGGGCAGGGCTTTTCAACCTTTTCACCCACTGTACCATTTTTAGGATATGGCAACATCCGAGGACCACCAGTCGCCTAGCAAGGGGTCAAAAACTTGATGACAAAAAAAAAAAAAAGAAGGGAAAAAGTGATAAAGTACAGGAAATCCTCGACTTACAACAGTGACTGTTCGAAGTTACAATGGCACTGAAAAAAGTGCCCCCCAAGCCACAGCCGAGCAAGACACCTGCCTGCCCACCCGGTGGCGCTCTTCCTCCTGTCCGAGGTTTCCATTGTTGTGAGCATTTCTGTTGAGGATTGGCAGCGGGGGTGGGGTGGGGGGGTGTTTGGTTTTTATTCCCCCCGTCTGCTGGGTGGTTGCAGCAGGTTTTGGTCACTTCACATGACCCTGGGACACTGTGACCATCATAAATATGAATCAGTTGCCAAGCATCTGAATGTAAATCACAAGACTCTGGAGATGCTACAACATTCCAGCTGATTGGCACTTCTTCTGGGCTCAGTAGAGGCACCAGGATCAGTGCTGCTTTCCAGCTGATTGGGGCTTCTTCAGGGCTCAGCAGAAGCACCAGGATCAGCGCCGAGCTCCAGCTGGAGCCTGGTGCTGATCCTGGCACTGATCCTGGTGCTTCCACTGAGCCCTGACAGCCCCGAAGTGCCAATCAGCTGGAAAGTGGCACTGATCCTGGCGCTTCCGCTGAGCCCTGACAGCCCTGCAGCTCCAGCCGTCTCTCGCTCAGGCTTGTGCGGTGCTGCCACCGGTTCAGCTCATTCCCCTCTCCCGCTACCACTTTTCTAGGATGGTTGCGTACCACCTGCCAGGTGCCAATGTACCACAGGTGGTACCCGTACCACTGGTTGAAAAGCCCTGCTCAAGGGGGACTCAGCCTTGCATCCTTCCAAGGGAAGCAAAACAAAGACCCAGATTGCCGGAGGGCAATATGCGGACATTGTAAAACCACTTTAGAGAGTGTTGTAAAGTATTACGGAGCAGTTTGTAAGTCTAGCGTAATTGCTATCGCTATTCCCAGGGAGGGTAACACAGAGGCTAATTTCAAAACCGTGTCTCCCGGTTCCATCACCTTACACCGTCAATGCCAAATTTAAGCTGGATTTAAGGCACTGCAGTTCTCAATGCAGAGAAGTTGCCATGGAAACAATGGAAAGGCTGCAGCGGTCAAAACTGCCAGGATAAAGGTGAAAGGATGGCATCTGGCTACATTGGCAGGTATAACTGAATTCCTCTGATGCTGTGACCCAGAAACTTGCAGCCGAGCAAGAACTGAAACATTTACAAGACAGAGAAAGGGCCTGGGTATATTTTGGTCCCACCTCAAAAAAAAAAAAAAAAAAAAAATCAAATCTCACTCATTTTACAAATCTGCAATCAGGCTGTGCAAAAGACTTTGAATCTCAGCTGCTGCCCTAATCTGAAGGTCTGGGTTTGAAGCAAAAGTGCCCCAACTTGAATGTGAAAACAGCTCTTTGGCTCTCAAGGTCAAAATAGAAAGGCAGACTCAGCCTTTCGCCTTCAGAACCAACATTCTGCACTCGAAGTAGGAACTCCTCCAGTGGAAATGGTTCAAACACAAAATGTTTTATATCTAAACATAATAAACATTACAGTACATTCAGCTAGCGATGCAAAATGGGGAAGTGGAACATGAGGAACAGGCCCAAAAAAGAAGATTAACTTTAGCTGGGTTTTCCCTTGTAGACCTAATGTCACAATGGAGGTCCACCAAGACCAGGGTTCTCCAACCTTGGCAACTTTACGACTTGTGGACTTTGACCCTCAGAATTTGGCACGGCTGGCTGAGGAATTCTGGGAACTGAAGCCCACAGGTTGTAAAGACCTCTGACCCAGAAAACATTGAGAGAAGCATCTCAAAATAGGCTCTCCTTCAAACGTCTTGGCCAACGATCCTTTTTCCTGTAATGCTTTCAATGACCTTGAAGAACAGGGTGGAGTTTGTGGCTTGTTGTCCTGATGGGCATCATCAACTTACCAGACTCCTCTGGGCCAACCAGTGACTGCGCCCGTGGTGACGTTCTTTTCTTTCCAACTTCTTCTATGCTCGGAGGACTTGGTTTCTCTTTGGGCAGGTGGGCCTTCTGGAGCTTGGTAGCCTCACGGAAGGCCATCTCGACCCGAATATAGTTTTCCTGGATATCATAGAAGAGTCCTAAAGGAAAGGTAGGGAAAGGGGAAAAAAAAAAAAGAGATTTCCCTCAGGAAATAATTACTGCTGATGTCGAAGGAAGCATTTATACATTATTTATATTTCACACTTTATATTTCACATGTCTTCACTGCCCATCTCCTTCAGAGAGGGGTTCTGGGCGATGTACAATTTAATCCATGCAATAAAACATTAAAACAAAAATCAAATGTCAGATTTTTTAAAAAAAATGTTAAAAAGAAGTATAAAATTGAAAAAGACGGAGGGATCCGAGATGGGGAGACTAAGAGTTGTTAATTCAGGCAGAGAGATTCTCATGGGGCCAATCAGGCCCATGGCTGTGTGGGCCCCTGTGTCTCCCCACACAAGGCTACACAATCAGGTTTTGACCCCTTTGCAGAAGGCCAAGAGACTTCCACACCTCCGAGGCCAAGATTTTTCACAATGCAGGGGTGTTGTGGCAGAGAAGGCCCCCTTCTTTGACCCCACCAGTCGGAATTCTTTGACTGCTGGGGTCTGTTGCATGCCTTCCCTCCCTGGACTAGTGGGATGAGCTGGTGCGATGGGGCAAAGCCGGTTCCGTACGTAGCCTGGCTCTGTCAGACTACTTAGAGCAGTGGTTCTCAACCTTTTTAATGCCACAACCCCAACCGGTTGTAAGTCGAGGACTAAACCGGTCGTAAGTCAAGGACTAAACTGGTCGTAAGTCGAGGACTAAACTGGTCGTAAGTCGAGGTCTACCCAATTGGTCGTAAGTCGACTTTCCCTGCCCGGGAGCGCCGCGCATGCGTGGTTCTGCCCCCTGCGCCGGCCGAGGTGTAGCTGGCAAGCGGCAGAGACGGAGCAGGCCGACCACCAGCTGGCCCAGCCCAAGGGAGGTAAGGCACCCGCTGGAAAAGGGAAAAAATGGCGGACAAAAAAAATGGCAGACAGCCTTGCTTGGCGACCCCCATGAAATGGTCGATCGACCCCAAATGGGGTCCCGACCCACAGGTTGAGAACCACTGACTTAGAGACTATGCAGAAAGCTGTGCCCAGCAGTGATGGTGTCAACACTCTGGCAATCAACATTTCCAAATCTTCCAAGTTAAATTAGCCAGATTCATACCTAACATGGTCCAGGCCACGACACTGCTTGGCTCCACACAGGTGGCATCCTCAAAAAAGACTTCAGCCTCCTCATAATTCTGCAGCATCACAGCCAGGATCCCACACAACAGGACACTGAACAGACAACAAACAACAAATCTGAGGAGAGCCTCACTGTAAGAACAATCCTCTACCTCAGAGCCTGGGTTTCTTCCTATCACAGTAGATTGTTTAGCACCTTTATTCAGGAAGAATATCCAATCTGTTCAAAAATCAGCCCTCATTCCATTTCACAATTTATATGTATTGGGGAAGGAGCCTCACTTATGTCGTAGATATACTTAAGAAGACTAGACAATCTGCGACCCATTGGGTCATTGTTTCAGAGCTATTTCATTATCAGATTCCTTTAAAAAAAATGTCAGAGATTTTAATGTATTGCCTTCACTGGAAAAGTTCTTAAAAATTTAGAGAGATATTCCTCTGAATACCTGCCTTGAAAATAGCCCGTTTTGAACTGAACAGCAGAGCCAAACATGAGGAATCGACCACGGGAAACCTTTTATGACATTTTTGTAATGTCATAAAGTGCTTTATAATGTTTCTGTCGTCAAATGTTTTATAGCAGTTGTCAAATTTAAAGTCCGTGGGAATCACGATTCCTGGATTTTAGATGCGTTCTATAAATTAGCCCATTTGAGCTACCTTGGTTGAAAATGTTTTGCCCTATGACGTACCATTTCATTCCATTAAAGGTTACAGACACATGCATTTTGGTAATATACAGATGTAGATAAGAAGAGTCCTGCTAGATTCAAACCTTCTGGTGAAATATACCTGAAATACCTTCTAGATGTATGAGACAATGGGATCTGTACAGGTAGGTCTTGAGTTACAACAGTTCATTTAGTGACCGTTCCAAGTTACAATGGAACTAAAAAAGTGACTTATGGCCATTTTTCACACTTACACTTACTGTTGCAACATCCCCATGGTGAGATGCTTGACAACTGACTCATAGTTATGATGGTTGCAGTGTCTGAGGGACACGTGATCCCCTTTTGTAACTTTCTGACAAGCAAAATCAATGGGGAAGGCAGTTACTTAACAACCATGTTACTAACTGAACGACTGCAAGGGAGGTCGTAAAATGGGGGGCAAAATTCACTTAAGAACTGTCTCACTTAGCAACAGAAATTGGGGCATCAATTGTGGTCGAAAGTCAAGGACCCCCTGTGCTCCTAACACATCTGGAGGGTGTTGGGTTGAAAAGGGTGCCCAACACATGTGCAGTAATGTACATCACAGCGCCTGCTGAAGTGTACATACGTACACTGCATTACATGTGTAGGACATACATACGTATCCTGCATAAAATTTAGGTATCTTTTTCCCCTGCATGTTAGCGTGAGCTCTGCTGCTAACGTAGTTAATGTCTGACCACAGTTCCAGACTAAGTGGTACCTGGGCAGGTGATTGGCATCCAGCCCTGCTAACACAGTTAACGTCTGACTACAGTTCCAGACTGAGTGGTACCTGGGCAGGTGATTGGCATCCAGCCCTGCTAACAAAGTTAATGTCTGACCACAGTTCCAGACTGAGTGGTACCTGGGCAGGTGAGTGGCATCCAGCCCTGCTAACACAGTTAATGTCTGACCACAGTTCCAGACTGAGTGGTACCTGGGCAGGTGAGTGGCATTCAGCCCTGCTAACACAGTTAACGTCTGACCACAGTTCCAGACTGAGTGGTATCTGGGCAGGTGATTGGCATCCAGCCCTGCTAACACAGTTAACGTCTGACCACAGTTCCAGACTGAGTGGTACCTGGGCAGGTGATTGGCATCCAGCCCTGTTAACACAGTTAATGTCTGACCACAGTTCCAGACTGAGTGGTACCTGGGCAGGTGATTGGCATCCAAGCCGACAGCTTCACGAAAACATTCCTGAGCCTTGAGGTTGTCTTCAGTCAGCAGGCAGAAAGCTCCATAATCCAACCAGCTCTGGCTATCTTGGGGGTTTCGAGATAACCTCTGGGGACAGAAGGACCCTCGTGTAAATTAGCATTCTGTTTCAAAGCTTCGAATGGAAAGATCTGAAGGTCAAAAACAGGATGTCAACTTCCTGATACAATGAAATGTTGATCATGGTTCGATTTTATTTGAGCCTTCACATCTCTCTTGTACAGTTTTCTTCCAGGAATTCTTGAATAAGAGTCTACCAAGGCCGAGGGTGTTCAATTTTAAGATATGTAGACTTCAACTCCCAGAATTCCCCGGCCAGCCTTCCACTGAAAGAGACGCGACTACACCAGGGGTAGGCAACCTTGGCTCTTTTATGACTCGTGGACTTCAACTCCCAGAATTCCTGAGCCAGCCATGCTGGCTCAGGAATTCTGGGAGTTGTAGTCCACGAGTCATAAAAGAGCCAAGGTTGCCTACCGCTGGACTACAGCATCTAAATGCTTCTAATTCTTAGAAAATGGAAAGCTCTTTGAGGCACCCTTGATGCTCTGTGAGCGTGGAGGTTTTCTTGCAGATGTTTCATTACCCAATGCTAGTACTGGTGATGTTACCTAGTGTAGGTCATGAAACGTCTGCAAGAAAACCACCAAGCTCAGAGAGGAATAATGACTTCACAGTCATTGTTTCTTCTCTTCCTCCTCTCCACCAACCCCACTCCCTTCTAGCACTGATGATGTTACCTAGGGTGGGTCATGGAACGTCTGCAAGAAAACCACCAAGCTCAGGGAGAATAATGACTTCACAGTCATTCTTTCTTCTCTTCCTCCTCCTCCTCTCCACCAACCCTTCTAGCACTGATGATGTTACCTAGGGTGGGTCATGAAACGTCTGCGAGAAAACCACCAAGCTCAGAGAGGAATAATGACTTCACAGTCATTGTTTCTTCTCTTCCTCCTTCTCCTTCTCCTTCTCCTCTCCACCAACCCCTCCCTTCTAGCACTGATGGTGTTACCTAGGGTGGGTCATGGAACGTCTGCAAGAAAACCACCAAGTTCCCAGAGCATCAACGACCCCCTCATTTCAACCCTGATTTAGATATATTCTTCTTTATCGGGAAAACGTGTTGTTTTCACAGTTGTTTCCTTACCTCCTGATAGTAAGTTGATGCCAAACCGTAGTCACCGTTGACCTGGGCCTCTCGAGCAAAGAGCTGGAGCTGCTCCAAGGTGGTATATACGGGAGGAGGAGGACTTGGCGTCTGGAGGGACAGTACCTGGTCAGTGCAGGGAAATAATGAACAGGGCATTCAGGCTGGTTCAGTTAAAGGAGGCTGGTTCAGCATTTGGCAATATGTATTCAAATACTGCAAGGCCATCAAACTGGTCAGTCCTAGAGGAGATCAACCCTGACTGCTCCTTAGAAGGCCAGATCCTGAAGTTGACACTCAAGTACTTTGGCTACCTAATGAGAAGGAAGGACTCACTGGAGAAGAGCCTAATGCTGGGAAAGATGGAGGGCAAGAGAAGAAGGGGACGACAGAGAAGGAGGTGGCTGGATGGAGTCCCTGAAGCAGGAGGCGTGAGCTTCAATGGACTCCAGAAGATGGTAGAGGACAGGAAGGCCTGGAGGAACGCTGCCTGTGGGGTTGAGATGGGTCGGACATGACTTCGCAACTAACAACAACAACAATTCAAATAGAATCTATGGAGATTCTCTGTCATCCAGGTCATGGTTGTCCCAAAGGTGCTTTTTCAAGAGGCAACTGGACTTTCTTGTTTTTTCTTTGAAGACGTTTCACTTCTCATCTGAGAAGCTTCTTCAGCTCTGACTGGATGGTGGAGAATGGAAAGATTTATATACAGCTGGTCATTTGCCTTCTTTTAGAGCAGTGTTTCTCAGCCTTGGCCTCTTGACGATGTGTGGACTTCAGCTCCCAGAATTCCATAGCCAGCATGGGTGGCTGTGGAATTCTGGGAGTTGAAGTCCATACATCTTCAAGTGGTCAAGGTTGAGAAACACTGTTTTAGAGAGTTGTTGAGGCCACCTGGAGGTTTGTCTGTGTCCTCAGGGATGCCTGAGTAGTGCAAATGGGCGACCCTATTCAGGTGACCCGGAGGACATAGATAAACCCACAAGTGGCCTCAATGGCTTTCTAAAAGAATGCAAATGACCAGCTCTCTTCTTGAACTTTCACCCTCAGAGCGTGAGACACACAACCGCTCTGTGGCAAGCCCAAAGCCGGATTGATCCAGCCTGCCCTGATGACTCTTCCTTTGGTTTGCCTGGCATAGATCACCCAACAGCCTCCACGATGAAAGCAGGGCTTGCTCTTCCAAAGCTCACCTGATTCAGCGCAACGTGCATCTGATCCATCAAGTAGACGTACAACTCACTGAGGAAAGCCTGGAGTTGGTCCAGAGTTTCAAAGGCAGTGGTCTTCAAGTACTTCTCCCGCACAATTTTAACAACTGCGTGCTATAAGGAAGAGAAAGACTCTGTCACAAGGACACCGCACATTCGGAAGGAAGGGAGCAACAAATTTATGAGATGCTAGATTCCATTTGCCTGATGGGTCACTACAGATTTAAAAAAGGGGTTGTCAGACTTGCTATCACTTAAACCTCTAAACAGAAACGATCCTTGGCTCCATTTGTTGAGAAAGATATAATTTGATTAGAAGTCAAGTGTATTGCAGGGTTTGCAAAGCCAGAATCACGGGCCAAAATCCCTATTTTCAACTTTTCCCTCCCTTAACTGTCTCCCATCACTGGCCTCCCCATGACCAATCAAGTTCAAGCAAGACGATTTCAGAACGGTTACTTCAGGCATTGGATGGTATGCAGCTGCTTTCCTTTCCCAGCCGGTTGGCCTTGAAGCAGGGTCTCAGGGAGATACAGCGGTTACTTTTGCTTTCCCCCAGGCCAGGGGTAGGCAACCGTGGCTCTTTTATGACTCATGGACTTCAACTCCCAGAATTCCTGAGCCAGCATAGCTTCATAGTTGAAGTCCACGAGTCATAAAAGAGCCAAGGTTGCCTACTCCTGCCCCAGGCATTCCCCTCCCCAGAGTTCATGGCAGATAGTCAATGCGTGGTAGCGAAGCACAAGCAAGCATAAGGTGGCAGCTGACGGGGGGGGGGGCTTCTGAAATGCTAAAAGAAGACTCAGATGACGAGGAAATGTGACATTTCAACGTATTACTCCACATTAATAGAACATCATTTCTACAAAGAGAGACCGGCGTCGTGACAAAATACCTTGAGTTGCTCCTTAAAGGCAAAATATTTCCCTGAGGTGTTTAGCTCGTAGTTGAGTTGACATTTCTGGTCTTCCAGGGTCTGAGAATCAACGACAAGCCCTTCAACCACCTGCCTTCCAAAGAGTTCGTGATACTCATCTAGGATCGATGCAGCAATACTGGTGATCTGCGTGTGGTAATCTTCTACGGCCTAAAGAAGTCGGGAAAACCTTTTGAGTGAACTCAAGTGGTGTTTGTTGTCAGAAAGAATTCCTCCACAAGAAGGTGGTATACACTGCTGGCAAACGTGTGGAAAAACGTCTTTAAAGTATTATATATCCATGTTGTCACATTAGCCTGATTTGTTGGGTGACTTCTTCAGTCTCACTTTCACACTTATCTGTCCGAGAATAAAATCTGGGCGAGGAATTTGCAATCTCAGTTTAAGGTACTGATCAAAACCAGTGATTGGCACGCTGACTGGGGAATTCTGGGAGTTGAAGTCCACATCTCTTAAAGCGGTCAAGAACACGGATTAAAAAAAAAGAAAGTGATTTCATATGAAAATGAAGTGTCTCCTTAATATGACGTTAGAGCTGCCTGCCAGAGAATCTCAGCTGTTATTATTGTTTTTAAATTAAGAAGTTTCTAGCCCCTAAGGTTTAAAAAATATGCTTAGAAGCAGACATAGTAAACAACGCTGACTGAAATCCCAGAAGCTACACTAGGGATGGGGCAATATTCTTAGTTTTCCTATTAAGGAATGCACAATAAGAAAAATTATGCATATCTAAGCAATCTCTTTAGGCTGCAGTTGTCTGTGGAATTACTGAGTAGGCTTGTTTCATACCTTCATGGCTCCTGCAGTCCTTCGAGGGAGTTGTGGGTGTGGAGGAATCATCTCCTTCACTCTGATTGTGTTAGAAGAAAGACAGGACAAAGGTGGATTGTTCTGATCATCTGACAAATTCATTTTGCCACCCCATTCACAGTTTATTTTGAAGTCAGTTCCATTAAGCTTAACCACAATCAGCTGCAGAATTAGCACACAAAGGATTGTGTTGGCAAGTTGTTTCAACCTGGAGATTCTCAGTCATCCAGGTCACGGTTGCCCCAAAAGTGCTTTTTCCAAGAGGCAACTGGACTTTCTTGCTTTTTGCCTTGAAGACATTTCGTCTCTCATAGAAGAAGCTTCTTCAGTTCAGAAGAAGCAGCTTCTTGGATGAGAAGCGAAACGTCTTCAAAGAAAAGTAAGTTCAGTTGCCTTTTGAAAAAAGCACCTTTGGGAGAATTGGGGATAAGGTCTCCCCACATAAATTTTTGTAGAGGACTAAGAGGCCTTTGAACTCTGGTGCTGGAGAAGACTCCTGCGAGTCCCCTGGACTGCAAGGCGATCCAACCGGTCAGTCCTAGAGGAGATCAACCCCGACTGCTCTTTAGAAGGCCAGATCCTGAAGTTGAAACTCAAGTACTTTGGCCACCTAATGCGAAGGAAGGACTCACTGGAGAAGAGCCTCATGCTGGGAAAGATGGAGGGCAAGAGAAGACGGGGACGACAGAGAAGGAGGTGGCTGGATGGAGTCACTGAAGCAGGAGGCGTGAGCTTAAAGGGACTCCAGAAGATGGCAGAGGACAGGAAGGCCTGGAGGAACGTTGTCCACGGGGTCGCGATGGGTCGGACACGACTTCGCAACTAACAACAACAACAACAAACTCAGCTGAGTTGTAGACTTTGTAGGAGCAAATGATGCTCTCCAGGGTACTGAAATCAGCCTTGATACAATGTGTTATTGGGTGACCAACCTGTCCTACTGGGCTCACAATGAGATCAGAATTCAATAAGACACTCAATCTTTGTAATGACTGATCTGGCCCAATATGCAGGATGAATGGGATAAGTAAGGGTAATGCCTCCCACTGACAAAGAATGAGCAGCCCTACCGAAGATGCAAAGAATCGTAGGGCTGGATGGGACCTTGGAGATCTTCTAGTCCAACCCTAGGCCTAAGGTCCTTAAACCATCCTGGACAAATGGTTGTCCAACCTTTTCTTGACAACCTCCAGCGATGGAGTACCAACAGCTCTGGGAGGCAAGCTCTGCCACTGATTAATTCTTCTCACTATCATGAGAGTGTCAAAGACTTTCACCCAAGCCCACTTATATCTATCTATCTATCTATATAAAACTCACCGGCTAGCAAGTTCCTCTGGCAGACGCTTGGGCACTAAAGCTCTATCCAGCGTAAACTCTATCACAATGAAACTTCCACAGTCTACATATTGCTGGAAAAAGAAAGTGGTTGATATTTCTTCAGGAGCATAGCCCACTTCCTAGGATGTTTCCACAGCCACATCCCCACAAAATGTAACCCAAACACATTAGGTTTCAATTGTGGGAATTTAAATCTATACATATGGAGAACAGCTAGGTTAACATCAAGCCCTTGTAGCAAGACACAGTAGAAGAGAGAGAGAGAGAGGGAGAGAGAGAGGGGGGGAGAGAGAGGGGATGAGAGGGGGGGGAGAGAAAGAGGGAGAGGGAGAGAGAGAGGGAGAGAGATAAGGTGGGAGAGAGAGAGGATGAGAGAGAGAGGGGGGGAGAGAAAGAGGGAGGGAGAGGGGGAGAGAGAGAGATGCAATCTGAAGATAGTCAGAAGCACTCATTCACAATTTTCATGTGACTCAAGATCCAGACTTGAGAATCCAGATGGTATCTACAAATCCTGTATATCTGACATCTTTTTAAGCAATAGCTTTACCTGTCCTTCCAAGTTCTGGCATACAGATACCGCAGTCTCTACTGTGATCTCGGAGGTGTCCTTTTTTACAATATTGGATGGCTGAAGAGGAAGCAAAAAAAAAAATCTTTTACAGGATATCATTTCAGAAAGCTTCCTTTGTATGACTTCTGGGGGGGGAGGATCACAAGTTGTACAGTTGCCGAGGTTGGAGACCCCTGTTGGAGAGGACTTCATCTCTTTGCACTTTTTTTTTTTTGCCATTCTCACCTTCCTCAGCATTAGTTCTCTTTGCTTGTCATCTTTCATGTTCTTCCCAAGGATGCTTTTGGTGTGCGGACTGTACATTCCCATGGGACCAAATTTATTAAGGACTGCCTGATGGCCCACGTCGCGAAAAAGACTGAAGAGGCACTTGGTCTGAAACAAAAGAGGCACTAAGTGAGAATAAGATAAGATAACCTTTATTGTCATTTTTTAACTGTGGGCACAACGGCACACATCAAAAATGAAATGTAGTTGCCCGCTCTCAAAGTGAACACATACACGACACACACCTAAACATACTATATAGTACAACAGGGGTCTTCAAACTTGGCCCTTTTATGACTTGTGGACTTCAACTCCCAGAATTCCTCAGCCAACCATGCTGCCTGAGGAATTCTGGGAGTTGAATGCCACATGCTGGCTGAGGAATTCTGGGAGTTGAAGCTCACAAGTCATAAAAGGGCCAAGTTTGAAGACCCCTGATATACAGCCTATGTATAGACCCACACCCCTACATATACATAACATATAAATATTAATCCCTGTCCATCTTGAATATATAACGGAAGGAGGAAGCTTGAGAGTTCACAAGGTTAATGCTGTATGGAATGAAACTATGGCTGAATCTGGATGTTCTGCTACAGATACCACGAAGCCCCCTCCTCCCAGAAGGGAACAAGGAAAACAGGTCGTGAAGAGGATGGGCCGTGTCCCAAATAATCTTAAATAGGAACACTTTTATTACATACCGCCAAGAGACGCTCTCTGAGGGAATTCTTTTTCGGTACATTTAAATTCAACATACAAATTGTCGCAGAAGCGACTGTCTGTGAAGGCTCCTAGATTGGGCTGAAAGGTGAAAGTGGAAGCAGTAGGCTCCATCCCATATTTGGAGTAGACCAGCTTGCCCAGATAGACCGGTCTTATTGGAAAACACTCTCTGAGGGAAATAAACATAGAACATAGAATTTGGAAGGGACCTTGGAGGTCCCTCAAGCAGCAGACCCTCTACCATCCTGGACAAATGGCTGTCCAATCTCTTCTTGAAAACCTCCAGCAATGGAGCATCCACAACACCAAGCTGTCCCATTGATTAATTATTCTTAATGTCAGAAAATTTTTCCTTAGTTCTAGGTTGCCTCTCACTTTAAAGATCTTCCACCCATCATTTCTTATCCTACCTTCAGATGCTTTGGAGGAAGTCCTCTCCTTTTCTCTGTGATAGTCTCTCAAGTCCTGGAAGGCTTCTATCATACCACCACTAATCTTTCTCTTCGTTAGACTAGACTACTAGGCATAGGGCTAGGCCAGGGGTAGGCAACCTTGGCTCTTTTATGACTCGTGGACTTCAACTCCCAGAATTCCTGAGCCAGCCATGCTGAGGGAAAACGGAGAGGTTTCCAAGCTGAGCCATGCTGGCTCAGGAATTCTGGGAGTTGAAGTCCACGAGTCATAAAAGAGCCAAGGTTGCCTACCCCTGGGCTAGGGTGTCAGTATTTTTAATGTCGAGAATATTTCATTTTAAAGACGTTTTAAACATTGATTTGTCCTTTAAAAATGATTAGAGGCCTGAAGACTAAAACATATGAAGAACGGTTGCAAGATACAGGTTTGGCTAGTCTAGAGAAAAGAAGGACTAGTGGGGACATGATAGCAATGTTCCAGTATTTGAGGGACTGCCACAAAGAGGAGGGGGTCAACTTATTTTCCAAAGCACCAGAAGGCAAGACAAGAAATAATGGATGGAAGCTAATCAAGGAGAGAAGCAACCTGGAATTAAGGAGAAACTTCCTAACAGTGAGGACAGTTAACCAGTGGAATGGCTTTGCCTTCAGAAGTTGTGGGTGCTTCAACACCCGAGGTTTTTAAGAAGAGACTGGATAGTCACTTGTCTGAAATGGTATAGAGTTTCCTGCTTGAGCAGGGGGGTGGACTAGAAGACCTCCAAGGTCCCTTCCAGCTCTATTCTGATTGATTGCTGTCTGCTCTAAGCTTCCTGGAAGCAAGACAGCAATAACCATTTCGAACAAAATCTAAAGCCAGGGAATCTTGGCTGATAAGCTGCGCAAATGAAGCTGTTACCTTTTCAAACACTTCGCTGTCATGGTAAGGAAAAACTCGGAACGCTCCGCGGATCCGCTTCACTCCAGGATACAGCAGCGGCACTAAGCTGACATAAGCCACGCCGTGAAAGGAAATTGGATCCTCCTCTGTTGCACCAATAGTTCCACCTCCCTAGACAAGGACAGTTGAAATGACCATCTTCCCTGCTGATAGCCACAAGCAGCACAAATGGAGCACAGGTAGCCGAGTTATGACCGTAATGGAGTCTGCTCACGTGACTCATTTCACAATCTTTTTTGCAGTGGTCGTGAAACGAACGGCATGGTGGTTAAGCCAGAGTTCCCCAACCTTTTTGGCTTTGTGGACCAGTGGGGGGAAGAAGGGATGGTTCCGTGTGAGCGGCGGGCAAGCGCACACATGCAACATGCATTTGCCTGCTGCTTGCCCAAGGGAGGATGTGTGTGTGCTCACCCGCCACTTCTGCGGCCCAGTTGCACAGCACTCAAGGCCCAGTAGTGGGCCGCAGTCTGAGGTTTGGGGACCTCTAGGTTAAGTGAACCGGCGGAAGTAAATATTAGTTTTGAGCAAAACCACAGTGAAATGTGGCCCTTTGATTGTGGGGTGATGCAAACCGCTGTTATTTCATCAGCTCAAGGCAGCAAACATACTTATTACTAAAGTGCAGTGCCACGACTGCAGGACGGGAAAGGGAACCATCAGAATTTTGAACCTGGGTCATAACTTCAAGTGGTCCCCAAGCTACTGACCGTAAGGACCATCTACAGCCAGAACCTCTTCTATAGTATTTACGTAGCACATGTAAAACCACGCCTAGATTTAATCCTAGCAAAGGTTAAATTGGAATATTGATGAGAAGCTAAAAATTGGGTAAAAATTCATAACAGGATATGGATTGTTTATGAAGATTGAATGTAATTAAGATACGTATAGGCAAAAAATTTATTGATAAATGTCATCATGATGTTTTTACTTGAGTTGATATAATAAGAACTGTACTAGCTTGAATACGAGACCGTAAATGTTAAGGGGGAAAGAGAAGAAATATCTGATGTCGCAACTTGAGATTTGCACTAAAGATTTTGTTATCGAACTACTAATTAACCCAGTCAGCATGTTGCTTTTTAAATACTTAAATGCAAACTTGGAAAATTAATAAAATATTATTTAAAAAAAAAAGAATTTTGAATCTGGGTCATAACTTCAAATGGTCACCAAGCTACTGAACATAAGTCAAGGACCATCCACAGCCAGAATCTCTTCTATAGTATTTACGTAGCACATGTAAAACCACACCTACGTTTAATCCTAACAAAGTAAAGAGAGCCAGTTAAGGGTAGTGGTGAAGGTGCTGACCTAGAAACAAGAGATGGTGGATTCTAGGCCTCCCTTTAGGATGAAAGCCAGCTGAGTGACTCTGGGCCAGTCACCAGGAGATGGTGAGCCCTAGTCTTGCCTTAGCCATGAAAGTCAGCTGGGTGATTTGGGACCAGTCTCTCTCTCCCTCAGCCCAACCCACCTCACAGGGCTGTTGCGATGGGAAAAATAGAAGGGAGTAGTATTAAGTATCTTTGCTGCCTTAAGCTGATGAAATATTTTTTTGAGAAGGAAAAAATGGTGGGATTAAAATATGATGATGATAATGATGATGATGATGGTGGTGGTGGTGAACTAGAACCTTACCTTGTCTCCTTTGCCAGCTTTGACTTTCGTGGATGTGACCAGTGGCACTCTGGTAATTTCCACAGGCCAACACCGACAGTCAGCGATCCGCTTGCGAAAGCTGTCAAGCAGGAAGAGACCAATAGCAAACCAGTTACAATTGTTTGTGTAGTCCAGGGGTAGGCAACCTTGGCTCTTTTATGACTGGTGGAATTCAACTCCCAGAATTCCTGAGCCAGCATGAGGGAACTATGGCCCCTTCATGATTCGTGGACTTCAACTCCCAGAATTCCTGAGCCAGCGTGGCTCAGCTTGGAAACCTCTCCCTTTCCCCTCAGCGTGGCTGGCTCAGGAATTCTGGGAGTTGAAGTCCACCAGTCATGAAAGAGCCGAGGTTGCCTACCCCTGGTGTAGTCTGATGCTCAAAAGGGCATTGCGTATACATTTCCATCAATGCCACATGGGCGGCAAAGGTGGGAACACGCAGCATGCAAAAAATGGTCAGAACTGATATGCTTCCGATTGGATTTAGCTGGGTGGCTTTGAGCCATTCAGCTGAACCCACCTCACAAGGTTGTCGCGGGGAAAAATAGGAGCAGGGAGAAGCATTTGTGTATGTTCGCCACCTTGCGTTGCTTATAAAAATAATCAGGGTGGCATATAAATAAATAAATGGGTTGAGTTTCTTGACGGACAAGCAAGCGGTAAATGTGCAAAATGCAGCACAAATTACCAGCACAAGCCAGGCTGTTGTAATAAGGCTTGTTAATATTTATGGCCAGGTTTAGCTGAAGGAACTCATGAATACACAGAAGACAGCAAATCAAGATCAGCTTCGGTTAGAGCAGTGGTTCTCAACCTTTTTAATGCCGCGACCCCCAACCGGTCGTAAGTCGAGGACTAAACCGGTTGTAAGTCGAGGACTAAACCGATCGTAAGTCGAGGACTACCCAACCGGTCATAAGTCGAGGACTTTCCCTACCTGGGAGCGCCGCGCATGCGTGGTTCCGCCCCCTGCGCCGGCCGAGGCGTAGCTGGCAAGCGGCAGAGACGGAGCAGGCCGACCACCAGCTGGCCCAGCCCAAGGGAGGTAAGGCACCCGCCGGAAAAGGGGAAAAAATGGCGGACAGCCTTGCTTGGCGACCCCCGTGAAATGGTCGATCGACCCCAAATGGGGTCGCGA